CATGGATGAATCTGGAGAACATCATTCTCAGCAAACTGACACAGGAACAGAAAATGAAACACCGTATATTCTCACTCATAGGCGGGTGATGAAAAATGAGAACACATGGACACAGAGAGGGGAGTACTAAACTCTGGGGTCTATAGCGGGGAAAGGGGAGGGCCAGTGGGAGGGGGAGGTGGGGAGGGATTGCCAGGGGAGAAATACCAAATGTGGGTGAAGGGGAGAAACCAAACAAAACACACTGCCATGTGTGTACCTATGCAACTGTATTGCATGCTCTGCACATGTACCCCAAAACCTAAAATGCAATAAAAAAAAAAAGAAAAAATTAAACTCTTAGAGTTGAATAAGATTTTAAAATGATTTTATTTTAATAAGATTTTATTTTATTTTAATAAGATTTTAAAATGATTTAAATTTAAAATGATTTTAGGCTTATTAGTATAATCATGTGTTTGAATTGGACTTTATTTCACAAATAACTTCTGGCTGTCCACAGATCATATATTATGTTCCTATTGGTTAGGTTTTTAGCTTACTATTTTCCAAATAGAAGATTATGTCATATGTAAACAAGGATAATTTGACGTCCTCCATTCCAATTTGGATGCTCTTTGTTTCCTTCTCTTGTCTGATTGCTCTAGCTGGGTCTTCCAGTACTGTGTTGAATAATAGAGGTGAAAGTGGGCATCCTTTTGTTCCAGATCTTAAAGGCAGGGCTTTCATATTAAGTAGTATACTAGCTGTGGGTCTGTCACATATGACTTTTATTATGTTGAGGTATGTTCCTTCTATACCCGGTTGTTGAGGGTTTTTATTAAGAATGAATGTTGAATTTTGTCAGGTGTTTTTTTCATTATCAGTTGAAATGATCATATGGTTTGTATCCTTTATTGATATGTATCACATTGATTGACTTGCATATGTTGAAATTATCTATGCATCACAGCGGTAAATCTCGCTTGGCCATGATGAAATGATCTTTCTAATGTATTGCTGAATTTCATTTGCTAGTATTTTATTGATTTTTGAATCAATATTTATCAGAGATATTGGCTTATAGCTTTATTTTTTGATGTGTCTTTGTCTGGTTTTGGAGTCAGGGTAATACTGGCCTTGTAGAATGGGTTTGGAAGTATTCCCTCCCCTTCTATTTTCTGAATAGTTTGAGTAAGATTGGTGTTAGTTCTTCTATAAATGTGTGATAGAATTCAGCAGTGGTGCTATCAGGTCCCTGGCTTTTTTTTTTTTTCCTCTGGGAGACTTTTTATTACGGCTTTGATATCATTACTCATTATTGATCTGTTCAGGTTTTGGGTTTCTTCCTGGTTCAATCTTGGTAGGTTGTATGTGTCTGGAAATTTATCTATTTCTTCTAGATTTTGTAATTAATTGGCACATAGTTACTCATAGTAGCCACTAATGATCCATTGAGTTTCTGCAGTATCGATTGTAATGTCTCATTTTCATTTCTGATTATTTATTTGGGTCTTCTCTCCTTTTTTTCTTAGTCTGGATAAATGTTTGTCAATTTTGTTGAACTTTTCAAAAAAATGCAGCTATTCGTTTCATTGATCTTTTGTATTGTTTTCTTCATTTCAATTTCATTTATTTCTGCTCTGATCTTTATTGTTTCTTTTACTAATTTTGGGTTTGGTTTGCTCTGGTTTTCTTGTTAAGATGCGTCATTAGATTTTTTTTTCTTCCTGAGATGGAGTCTTGCTCTGTCATTCATGCAGGAGTGCAGTGGTACCATCTCAGTTCACTGCAACCTCTGCCTCCCAGGTTCAAGTGATTCTCCTGATTCAGCCTCCTGAGTAGCTGGGATTACAGGCACTTGCCACCACGCCTATTAATTTTTGTATTTTTAGTAGAGATGAGGTTTCATCATGTTGGCCAGGCTGTTCTTGAACTCCTGACCTCAGGTAATCCACCAACCTTGGCCTCCCAAAGTGCTAGGATTACAGGCATGAGCCACGGTGCCTGGCCTCATTAGATTTTTTATTTCAAGTTTTTCCTGTTTTTTTATTTTTTATTTTTTATTTTTTTTATTTTAAAGATGGGGTTTTACCGTGTTGGCCAGGCTGGTATTGAACTCCTGACCTCAGGTGATCCACCCACCTCCGCCTCCCAAAGTACTAGGATTACAGGTGTGAGCCACCGTGCCTGGCCACCTGTTTTTTAATGTAGGCACTTATAGCTGTAATATTGCCTCTTAATACTGCTTTTGCTGTATCTTATGGATTTTTGTATGTTGTGTTTCCATTATCATGTGTTTCAAGAAATTTTTCAACTTCCTTCTTAATTTCTTCATTGATCCTACATTCAAAAGTACATTAAGACAGTCTTTTCTTGGGCACCATCTGTATGTTTGTACTGTACTCAAATTGGTCGTATAAAAGTTGACATCTGTTTATAATTCAATTCGCATTTCTTACATTTTGTCAGATTGCTTTTTCCTTTAGTTTTAATTTCATTCAGTAGATAAACTGCAGCATTTGTTATTGAGGCATTCTTCTTAGTTATTTAATAATTGCTTAGATCTAGTATGACTTCCTCCTTTTTTTTTGGTGAGATGAAGTCTTTCCCTGTCATATCCAGACGAGAGTGCAGTGGCGTGATCTCAGCTCACTGCAACCTCCACTTCCCAGGTTCAAGTGATTCTCTTGCCTCAGCCTCCCGAGTAGCTGGGTCTACAGGCACATGCCACCATGCCCAGCTAATTTTTGTATTTTAGTAGAGATGGGGTTTTACCATATTGGCCAGGCTGGTCTTGTATTCCTGACCTTGTAATCTACCGGCTTCGGCCTTCCAAAGTGCTGGGATTACAGGCATGAGCTACTGTGCCTGGCTGACTTCCCCTTTTCAAACTTGCAATTAAATCATAATTATTTCAAGTCATTTCTTAAAAATTTCTAATTGCTGTATAATTTTACTTTGTTTCTTATAAAACATTGGTCAAATTAGCCAACATATCCTAATCAATAGTCAGTAAAAATCTTGGGTAAATCCTCTTATTGCATTTCATTGTAGATCTATTACTTAACCTCTTTCCTTCCAGTTTTTAAACGTTTTCATGTAATAAAATGAAATGTTGGGCTAAATTCATTCTGTCTTGTAAAATTCAACATTGTCCATGCTCATAAATATGATTTTGTGACTCTTAATGGCAGAAAAAATATGTTGCTATTTTTGTCTAAAGTCGAGTTATTAATAGAGATATGAGAAAGTAGGTTCTCTGTTAGTGGATTCTGGATAGGCTGTAGGAGAGAGAGAAGCCTCAGCCTCTGTGGGAAAGAGAGAAGCCCAGACTCTGCAGAAGCCAACTTGTGATTTGGCAGATGGCTCTGAGGCAGAGGACAACAGAACAAGGGTTCTTAGAGACTTTTGCCAGCTTGGCTATAGGACTGTAGTGATAGGATGGTTTAGTCACTTGAATTGCTCTGTGTCCTCTACATTGCCAGTAATGGAAGTGAGTTCACTTTTTTTTTTTTTTAAGATGGGGTTTCACCATGTTGGTCAGGCTGGTCTTGAACTCCTGACCTCAGATGATCCGCCCGCCTTGGCCTCCAAAGTGCTTGGATTACAGGCGTGAGCCATCATGCCCAGCCGGTGGGTTCATTTTTTAAGGCACCAAATAAATACCAAAAGTTCCTACTCTTTGATTTATTTTGCAAGGTCATGTATACACATTCAGCACCAACCATGTGCTTATATTGTGAGTCAGAATGAGATCTGGACCTTACTGTTAAAGAGTTACATAATTACACCATAAAAGAACCAGAGATTTCTTTTAAGGCAGGATGTAATTCATGGCTAAAAAAAAAAATTAGGTTGTTAAAATACCTGTCGTAGGAATTTGGGAATAGGAATTGAGGGGTAGAAGAAGTTGGTAAGGATCAGTATTATTGAGGAACTGTTCATGGGGATTTGGCAGTAATACCTGATGTTTATATGCCACTTAACAGAATGAAAAGCTCTTACCACATTTAATCCTTATTGCAATTTTATGAAGCAGCAGTGTGCTTTGCTTTTAAATAATCATCTGTGTAAAAGATGAAGAAATCGATGTTTAGAGAAGTCAGGTTGCTTGACTGAGGTTATATAGCTGGTAAGGGCTAAGATTTCATTTTTTAAATATATTCATTCACTCATTAACTCTTTAGACATTTATTAAAGGTCTGTATGTTGCAGCCACTTGCTGTGTTCTGGGGATATGAAGATTACAGCACTGTCCTCACATCTTATTGTTTAATAGGCTTAAATTCAGGTCTTTCTTTTAAGTCTATTCAGTTTGTTTTCTTCAGCTTCCTTAAGTTTCAAGATGAATGAAGAATAGTTACAGGTTCAATGAACACATTGTTGGGTGATTGGCTCTAGATGGGAAAACACATAAGCAGAGTTGTGAAGGTGACGATTAATAAAGAGAGCATGTGTTTTGAGGAGAAGATTTAGACAAAGGTGGTGAACAGTTTGGGTTAATCAGGTGTGGCCTTAGAGGCCTATATATTTTGAGTTGTAAGAATGAGAAGAATGCGTTTATATCATACATCTATCATATAGATAAATGCTGAAGCAAGACTTTTAGAAGTCTGTGTAGGTTCATATTGTTAGAATGTGCTCATATTCTTGTGAAATACAAGATAGTTTAGGAGCTATTTATAGCAGGAGATAATCACTGGATAGTATTAGAAAAGCCTGGATTCTAGTTTTAAACTACTTACCATCTGTGTGATATTAAATAAATACATAAATAACCTTTTTGAACTTCAACTTTTATATCCATATGTAAAATTATCTGTATGGTGCCTGAGTACAGTTCATTAAACATTTGTCTAATGAATCAGTAAATGAAATAGAGAAAATAACATTTTTCCGGCATACTTTTTCCAGTTACTGCAAGGAACAACACTCAAATAAGTACTCTATAATGGTACTGTCCAAAATTTTAGAAAATTGTTACTAATAACTAACTTTTTTTTCCCTCTTTTGAACAGCTGCTGGACAAGGCCACATAGAGTGTTTGCAGTGGTTGATTAAAATGGGAGCAGACAGTAATATTACCAACGAAGCAGGGGAGAGACCCAGTGATGTGGCAAAGAGGTATGAATTGGTCTTCTTTACTCTTTTCTTTTGTTTTTAAAGTTTTGCATATACTTTCTTGCACCCAAAAATCTCTGAAGATTTAATGAAATCTTAGAGGACTCAGTCAAATACAGAAGCAATGACAATTTTCAAGCTGAAGTTATAGCTGTTGTTATATCAGTTTTTCTTTCTAAAGCAGTAATTCTCAACTGGGTGGTAGTATTGTCCCCTTTCCTTGTGGGAGGGGTATTTGTGGGGGAGGGTTGTCACAATGACTGGAGACTTTTACTAACTGGAGGTTAGGTCTAGGAATGCTAAATGTTCTGCAGTGCTCAGGATAGTAATGCATGATGAATTGGCCCATACAAATGCCTATGGCATTGCCTGTTAAGAAATGCTGTGTGAAAAAAGAAATAGTCAACTTTAACAATAGAAAAATAAATCACATGGGTTTTGAAACGTATTTTAGTATTTACATCTGAATTAAATGTAGCATGTATTATTAAACATAGCCAACTCATTTGAGTTAGGTTCTCAAGAAATATGTAGTCCCTCTGTTTGTTCATGTGGTTGTTCTGTCAATCACTTTTCCATATACTTAACGTATTCCAAGTTGTGTGATTAGTGGTAAAAATACAAAGGGGAGAAAACACAGTCACTGCCCTCAAGGAGCTTATAGTATTGTGGAGAGACAAATATGCAAATGAAATTCTTATTAATTCTAATTTTTATTTTTTTTATTTTTCAAAATCGTTTTTTTCTTTTTTAAAGACAGGGTTTCACCATGTTGGTCAGGCTGGTCTTGAACTCCCAACCTCAGGTGATCCGCCTGCCTTGGCCTCCAAAGTGCTTGGATTACAGGCGTGAACCACCACGCCTGGCCTAATTCTAATGATTATACCATATTACATGGTATGTGTAAGGTATACTGAGAGCATAGAAAGTCTTTCTGTTTGAAAGTTGTAAGAGAGAACTTTAATACAGAGGATGGAAACAGCATGGGGACAGAATTTACATAGAGGTCAAATTTTTTTTGTGGAAGCAACATTTATGTTGACACTTGTAAGCATAAGTGTAAATGTGAGAAGGAGTTGTAAGACAACACCTTGTATGTTTGAGGAACTGCATGGGGATTAGAAGGCTGAAATCTAAAGTAGGAGTGTGGGCTAACAATGGCATATGAGGCTTGACATATGCTGTGGTCCAATCATTTGCTAAGTTGCTATGCAACTTTTGTTTGTGAGCTCATGTTCCCCAAAAATTTGTTTATGGAATTTCTTTGATGCCTTGGAGTGTGGTTTTGTTGTACCATGTACCTGGGATCATTATAAACTCGGGTCTATTTTATTGTTTTAAAATGGCTTTATCAGGGTATAATTGACATACTATAAAATGCATATATTTGTGCAGTACAACTGAGTTTTAATATATGAATATCCTGTGAAACAATTTTCACAGTTAAGATAGTGAACATCTTTATCACCCTCAAAGTCTCCTGCCACTTTATAATCTCTCTCCCTTTGACTGCTCCCCAGTGTAGCCAAGCAAACAAAACACTGATCTGCTTCCTGTCACTATAGATTAATTTGCATTTTCTAGAGTTTTATATAAATGGAATCATACAATATATATTTATGTCTGGCTTCTTTCATTCAACATAATTATTTTGAGCTTTCATCTATGTGTATTAGCAGTTCATTTCCTTCTAACAATGAGTAGAATGCCATAGTATTTCATAATTCAATTATCCACTCACAGATTTGAAGTACATCTTGACTATATCATTTTTTGATGATTATGAATAAAGCTGCTATAAACATTCATAAACAGGTTTATGTGTTAACATGTTTTCAGTTCTTTGGGTAAATCTATGAGCAGGACTGCTGGACTACATGCTAAGTGTATGTTTAACTTTATAAGAAACTGCCAGAATGCCTTCCAAAGTGGCCATACAGATTTGCATTTCTAGGAGCCGGGCTCAGTGGCTCACACCTACAATCCCAGCACTTAGGGAGGCAAAGGCAGGTGGATCACTTGAGATGAGGAGTTCGAAACCAGCCTGGCCAACATAGTGAAAACTCATCTCTACTAAAATTACCTGGGCATGGTTGTGTGCACCTGTAGTCCCACTGTAGTCCCAGCTACTACTCAGGAGGCTGAGGCAGTAGAAAAAAAATTGCTTGAATCCGGTAGGCAGAGGTTGTTGTAGTGAGCTGAGATTGTACCACTGCACTACAACTGGTGTGACAGAGCTAGACTTTCAAAAACAAAAAAGAAATTGTATTTCTACCAGCAATGGATGTCAATTTCTGTTGTTCCACATTCTTACCATCATTTGGTATTGTCAGGGTCTTTTTTAAATTCTAGTAATGAAATAGGTATGTAATGGTGTCTTATTGTGGTTTTAATTTGCATTTTTCTAATGAAAAATGAACTTGAGCATCTTTTAAATATACACACTTGCCATCTTTATATTTTCTTCGATGAAGTGGTTATTCAGATCTTTTGCCCACTTTAAAATATTGAATTGTTTTCTTGATATTGAGTTTTAAAGGTTTTTTGTATATTCTGGATACTAGTTCTTTCTTAGATATACACTTTGCAAAGATTTTTCCTTTTTACCAGTTGTATCTTATTTTTTCATTCTCTTAATGTCTTTGAAGAGCAAAATTTCTTACTAATTTATCCTTTTATGCATTATGATTTTGGTGTCATATCTAAAGAAATCTGATTAACACAAAGTCATGAAAAATTTATTAAATGTTTTCTTTTAGAAGTTATATAGTATTAGCTTTTATATTGAGGTCTGTGGTCATTTTGAGTTAGTTTTTGTACATGATATGAAGTATGAGTCCAAGTTCTTTTTTCGCATATGGATATCTAATATTAGACTATTTGTTTAAATGACTATCCTTTCTGCACTGCCTTTTTGTCTTTGTAAAAATCAGTTGTTGATGCATGTGCAGGCTTAATTCTGAACTATTTTGTCCATTGGTCTAATTGTGTATTTTTGCATCAGCGTCATATAGGTGATTGTGTACTGTGGGTATGTCTGAAGTTTTCCATAATTTCTGGTCTACATTTTTTTTCTCATGTAACAAAATGCTTGATGTGGTTGTAGTGTTATTTTAAAGATAAGCTTGAATCGAGCATAATGTAAGCACTCAGTAAATGACAGCTGTTAAATTACAACCTAGTAGTAGAGATAATGAATTCTATAAGCCTTACAACTTCCTGCATATGTTTACTTTGTCTTTAATGATTTGCAGTACCTGGTAGGAGGTAATGTATGTGTTTGGTTATATAAGTATGAGAAAATGGGATTTAAGGTTTTTGTGTTTAACGAGTAATTCTTCAAGTCCTAGGAAAATATATTAAATATTCCATTTGGCAAAATTGTGGAAAATATGCAGATTATATATAATCACAATAACAACTCCAAAACCAAGAGTACATTACTGGAATCTTCATAGAAATGTGGGAAAGATTAAGGAGAATTAGAAAATGAATAGAAAGGTCATTTTTTAAAATTAAATTTCAAAGCCATACCAAATGATTTGGCTTGAGGAAGGATGGAGATAGAAGGGTCTAGAGCTATATTACTAGTTAGCCCTAAAACTATAATGAAAATAAATTTTATAATTTAAATTAGGCCAAGAAAAGGCTATAACTATAAGTAATCAAGGAGGGCGGTTCTGGGTCCTCTATGCTTGAGAGCCTAACACATATTATTTTGATATTGGATCTCCATTCCCAGTGTGTTTTTGCCGATAAAAATTATGGAATCAGTGTTTAATGTGAATACTTGTCCTTAGTGCCAAGTAACTGAGTTTCTCACATAGTTGAATATATGTCAGATTGTCACTGACCTTCAAATTTTGGCTCCTTGGCTGGGGAGTGCATTGGTGACAGAGTGTACAGGGTGTAATTCCCTAAGTTAAATGCAAGCTGCAGTTCCAATTTGAAGAAGATTATGAATCTGATTAGTTTATTGATTCTCTTCTACAGGTTTGCCCATTTGGCAGCAGTGAAGCTATTAGAGGGGCTACAGAAATATGATATAGATGAAGAGAATGAAATTGATGAAAATGATGAGAAGTTTTTTATAAGACATGGTGTTGAGGGAAGCACTGATGCCAAGGATGATTTATGTCTGAGTGACTCGGATAAAACAGATGCCAGAAGTAAGTATGCTGCCTCTGTTGTGATTTATCCTTTCAGAAATACCATAGCAATTTTTCGCCACAAATTTGGAAATTATTATGAAGACAAATATTGCCTGCAAAGTAAAATAAGTTGATATTTTTGGAGGAACCACAACTAATACAAGTTTTTGTGCTAGGGTTGTTGAATATATAAAAAGTGTGAGACATAGTCTCTGTCCCTCAGGGGATGGAAAGTTATATAAGAAAATATTTAAGTATTTTCTTCAGTGGCTCAAGGGAACAGGGAAAGAAACATCTCAAGTATTTCCATGGTGAGTTGGCAAATGATCACTGCAGATAATAATAGCAACAAATATTTATTATCTACTATGTGCCAGACACTGTTGTAGTTATTAAAGTAATGGTGAACAATACAAAGGAACTTCATTCGAGTGGTGGTAGTCAGGAGGGAAGGTGATAAGTAATTGATAAGAAAATAGATATATAAAGAAAATAGAGTGTTGCTATAGACAAGACAATCATTAGGTCTCTCTGTGGTGGTGATGTTTGAGGACAGACCTGGGTGATGAAAATGAGTCCTATGAAGATCGGGGAAGAACGTTGCCAGCAGAGGGAACAAACAGTGCATGTAAAGACCATTATGTAGTATTGGGAATGGTCAGTGTGGCTAGAGTAGAATCCCTAAGGAAGTGACAAAAGATAGTTTTGAAGGGTCAGCTGGGACCAGTCAGATCATATACAGCCTGATAAGCATTTTAGGTTTACATTTTTATTTTATTTGTTCATTTTTTCCCTTTTTTCATCACAAAATCTCAGCATATAGATTTTATTTTCAATAGAAAGCCATTGTAGTTCACGGTGGAGAATGATGTGATCTTACTCATGTTTAAAAACAGTATCACTCTATCTGTTCCATGAATGATAGACTGGAAGGTGGAAAAGAACATAGCGTTTCAGATGGGGTATGAATTAGGTGGGAAAAGAACATACTCCACCTAACAGTATAAGGTTGGATGAACTTCCTGAGACAATTATATCCTGATTCCAAGGATACTAAATTAGAATTGTACAAGAACAGATATAGAATATTATCTTCACAGATTTCCTAGGCTCCTAGAGTTTCCTGATGTAGGCCTGTAACTAACAGTGATACGAGACATCTCATTTCTTGTTTTGCTTCACTTCAGCCTTTTAGGATTTGCCGATAGATGTGGCCATGAGGTGTTAGAGAGAAAGAAGGTAATCAAGGGTGACTTAGATTTCTGGCTTGGGGAATTTGGTGAAGGGTAGTACGTTTAAAATAACTATTCATTTAGGATAGAGGAGCAGGAAGGCTTTTCAAAAGTAGATTTGGCTTGTCTTGAAGGGTGGCCAGGATTTTAATAGGCAAAATGGATAAGGAACAGTCCATTCATCCAACACATATTTGATTTGCTTTGTTGTTCCTCATGCAACACATTTGAATATTTACTGTGTGCACAGCCCTGGGCTATGGAATAGGGCAGTGCATCAGACATAGTCTTGCTTTCTGGAATTCAGAAAACATTCTGAAACTGCTCAAGATAGTACTAAAAGTACTCACTGAAATTGTACATTGTCAGTTCTTTCTTTCTCATCATTCAACACGTATTTATTGAGTATCTGTTATGTGTCAGGCACTGTTCTAGATTCAGGGGTTACATTGGTAAACAGATAAATGATTTCTCCATATTTGCTTATTCCTAAATGGTTCGATTTTTAAATTGTTTAAAGCTGTGAAAGTATTGATTATCTGCTCTTTGAGTTCCATGACAAGATTAATAACCTACCATATTTGTTAGTGGGATTTTCTAAAATAGTTTTATAGTTTTTATTTTTTTTCTTTCATACTAATTGCATTATAGAGCTGTGTATGCTACAAATTTAATTTTTTATAATTGTCATCTGAAGGACAGTCTTTTTCCATTGAATATTGTCTTAGTATGCTTGGACTTCCATAGTAACATACCATAGACTGAATGGCTTAAACATCGGAAATTAATTTTCTCACAGTTGTAGAGGCTGGAAGTCCCAGATCAAAGTCTGGTAGGATTGGTTTCTGGTGAGGGCTGTCTTTCTGACTTGGTAGGTTTATGTCCTCACATGGGGGAGTGAGAAAACTCTGGTTTCTCTTCTTACAAGGACACTAATCCCATGGGACTATGGCCCTACCTTCATGTCATCTAACTCTAATTACCTTCCAAACCCTCCCCTCTCCAAACACCATCACATTGGAGATTAGGGCTTAACATACGTATTCTGGCGAGACACATTCAGTTCATAACAAGTGGTTATGAACTGTATTCCAAATTAGTCAGTGAGTAAAAGTAGGAGTGCTTTCTCTCAAGGAGTCATGGTTTCATGCAAATAGATTTCTCAGAGGCAGTAGGATGCTGGCTTATCATAGTTTTATGTTTATTATATTATATGAATATATTGAAACTAAATTGAAGTCTAGTAATTGGAGCAAATTTTAATTTCTGTAGAATTTTTGCTGGGCTTGGCTACTGGCATATAACTTTCCTACTGGATTTTTTGTTCCTCAAAATCCTAACAAAATGTTTTTTATTTCAGTAATGTTTTCTAGTTTATAGAACACTTCCATGTACATTATTCTCAGTAAGCATATAAGGTAGGTAACGTCTGTTTGTTTGTTTTTTTTTTGAGATACAATTTTACTCCTTTACCCAGGCTTGAGTGTAGTGGCACAATCTTGGCTCACTGCAACCTCTGTCTCCAGGAGAATCAAGTGATTCTCCTGGGAGGAGAATCACCTCCCAGGGAGCTGGGATTACAGGTACCCACCACCATCCTTAGCTAATTTTTGTATTTTTAGTAGATACAGGGTGTTGCCATGTTGGCCAGGCTCGTCTCCAACTCCTGACCTCAGGTGATCCACCTGCCTTGGCCTTCTAAAATGCTGGGATTACAAGTGGGAGCTACTGCACCTGGAAATATCTCTGTTTTCTATCTCAAAAAACACTCTTTTAGTATAGTATCCTCATTTGATAGATAAGGAGACTGAGATTCAGAGAAGCTAAGTTACTTGTCCAGAGTCACACAGCAACTGGAAGCAAGGCTTTTGGGCTTCCCTTTGCTCTTGCCAGCACACACATTGTCTCCTAAGAGGAATATTTTCATACCATGAGCAATCTGAATTTTGCTTCTAATGGTATTTGGTCAAGAGAGCCATGGTTTGTACTAATGGATGAGAAGAACTGTTTCAATGGAGCTCTTTGATAGGAGTGAGGATATGCGCCTAACCAAATCAAAGGCAGCCCCAGTGAATGAAGAAAGCTCAGGCATTGGATTCAGATGTTAGAATTTCACCCCGTTTTTTGTTTTTTTGCGACGGAGTTTCGCTCTTGTTACCCAGGCTAGAGTGCAATGGCGCCATCTCGGCTCACCGCAATGTCTGCCTCCTGGGTTCAGGCAATTCTACTGCCTCAGCCTCCTGAGTAGCTGGGAATACAGGCATGCGCCACCATGCCCAGCTAATTTTTAGTATTTTTAGTAGAGTCAGGGTTTCACCATTTTGACCAGGATGGTCTCGATCTCTTGACCCCGTGATCCACCTGCCTCGGCCTCCCAAAGTGTTGGGATTACAGGCATGAGCCACCGCGCCTGGCCAGAATTTCACCACTTTCTAGCTGTGTTACTTTCTGAGCCTCAAGTTTATCTGTAAAAATGAGAATATAATATAATATCACCCCAACAGATGTTATAAGGATTAAATTAGTGCACTGGAGAATGGGAAGTGCCTGGCTTATACAGGCTCAGAAAGTGTGAGTTCCCTTCCTCTTGATTTCTGGAGAGTGTCAGTTATTCTAGCAAAAAGACCTAGTTGTACCAAAATTGTATTTTCTAAGGAAATTTTCTGATTTAGGTCTAGATTTATTTTCTAATTAAAAAAAAAGTCCTCAGAACGTTGTCAGGCAATACTTCACTCTCTGGGGTAGAGTGGAAGTCTCTTCCCTGATGAATGTAACCAAAGGAAAACCTGAAGATGCTGATGTCAGGGTTCCTAACCAACAGCCCACCCAGATCACCCTACAGTGAGGCTCAGAGTTAATCATTCTTTCAGGATTTCCTGACAGCTTTATTTTAAGTAGCTTTTTTGATTGAGGTATGATTCATGTATTATTAAATATACCTACTTAGACATACAATTGGGTGGTTCTCAGTATATTCACAGATTTGTTAAGCATTACCACAATCAACATTATGTCTGTTATTTATTTATTTTTTTGAGACAGAGTCTTGCTCTGTCTCCCAGGCTGGAGTGCAGTGGCGCATTCTCGGCTCACTGCAATCTCTGCCTCCCAGGTTCAAGTGACTTGTGCCTCAGCCACCTGAGTAGCTCGGATTACAGCCATACACCTTCAGCCCAGGTTAATTTTCATTTTTAGTAGAGATGGGGTTTCGCCATGTTGACCAGGCTGATCTTGAACTCCTGGCCTCAAGTGATCTGCTTGCCTTGGTCTTTCAAAGTGCTAAGATTACAGGCATGAGCCACTGTGCCTGGCCAATTTTATGTCATTTTTATCAACCTACAAAGAAATGTCATCCCCATTACCCTACCCCACCTTCTCTCCAGCTGTTATTCTGGCAAAAAGAACTAGTTGTACTGTAATGATTAATGTTGTTGAGTATGTTTCCACATGCCCATTGACTCTTCTGGGCAACTGCTAATCTACTTTCTGCCTCTGTAGAATTGCTGATTGTAGATACTTTATTTGAATAGAATATGTGGCCTTTCCTTTCACTTAACATAATGTTTTCAAGGTTCATACACACTGTAGCATGGATTAGTATTTCATTCCTTTTTATTGTCAAATATAATTCTTGTATGGATGTACCACGCTTTATACATCCATTAATCAGCTAATGGACATTTGAGTTGTGTCTGCATTTTGGCTATTATAGATAATGCTGCAGTAAACATTCATGTGTACATTTTTGTGTGGACATAGGTTTTCATTTCTCTTAGGTATATACCTAGAAGTGGAATTGCTGGGTCATCTGAAAACTCTTACGTTTAACATTCTTAGAAACTGCCAAACTGTTTTCCAAAGTGGCTGCACCATTTACCTTCCTACCAGCTACATATGAGTATTACAATTTTTCCACATCCTTACCAACATTTGTTTTCATTTATTTTATTGATTATAGCTGTTTTATTGGGTGTGAAGTGGTATCTTACTGTAGTTTTGATAGTGTTTCCATAATGATTAATGATGTTGAGTATGTTTTCACATGCCCATTGACTCTTCATGTATCTTCCTTGGAGGAAAGTCTATTCAAATCCTTTGCCTGTTTTTCACCTGAGTTATTTTTGAGTTGTAAAAGGACTTCTGTATACAAGACCCTTTTCAGATACATGATTTGCAGATATTCTCTCCCAGTATTGTGGGTTGTCTTTTAACATTGTTGATACTATTTGAAACACAAAAGTTTTAAATTTCAGTACAGTCTACCTACTTGTATTTTGTTGCTTATGCTGAGATTTTTTTGTTGTTGTTGTTTGAGACAGAGCCTTACTTTGTCACCTAGGCTGGAGTGCAGTGGTGCAATCTTGGCTCACTGCAACCTCTGCCTCCCAGACTCAAGTGATCCTCACACCTCAGCCTCTCAAATAGCTGGGACTGCAGGCATGTGCCACCACGCCTGGCTAATTTTTTGTATTTTTGGTAGAGACGAGGTTTTCACCATGTTGCCCAGGCTGATCTCGAACTCCTGAACTCAGATGACCCACCTGCCTTGGCTTCCCAAAGTGCTGGGATTACAGGCATGTGTGCCTGGCCTGTGCTGAAATTTCTTTTGTTGGTTGCATTAAGAATGAGCAAAGACTTAGAACTGTAGAACATAAGCACTTGATTTTGTAAGATTTCAGTTTCTTCTGACATTATTTGAGTAAGAGATATTTGTGAGGGGGATTTTGTTAGGGGATCAAGAAATTTCAAAAAGATGTTTCAGAAAAGACCAAGAACATGACTAGAACAGTTTTCTATTGTGGTGTGCTTGATACAAATGAGCTCTCAGCACCTTTGCTGTATAGCGAGTACCACTTGCACCCAGGTGGGTGCTTGCAACTGGTAAAGGGATACTATATATAAAGTCATGTGCTGTTTTATTATCCCTACTTCATTTTATTCCAGGGCAAAATTTGAAGTATTAGATGGTCACTTCTTGAGACACTAGATTTTGTCAGAGCATCTGTAGGGGATTAGCTGGATTTCTTGTCCTTTTAGAGTTCCTGGAACTGAGCCTGAATTCACAGCATTTTTCAGTGAATTGTATTTAGGCCATGGTATCATAGAACCCTATAACCATTTGAAGTTTGCTGGCTTAGCCATTTCTGTTGCATGTCATATAGCTTCCACTTAGTCACTGTAAGTGGCAAGACATTTATTATTGCCCAGGGAAGTTATTTCCATCTTTGACAGAGTTCCTGTAGGGATTTTCTTTTCTTTTCTTTTAGGTTCAGGGGTACATGTGCATGTTTGTCATATAGGTAAGTTGCATGTCATGGAAATTGGTGTAGATTATTTTGTCACCCAAGTAATAAGCATAGTACTTAATAGGTAATTTTTCAATCTTCACCTTCCTCCTAACCTCAAGTAGACCCTGGTATCTGTTGTTCCCTTCTTTGGGTCCATGTGTACTGAACGTTTAGTTCCCAATTATAAGTGGAGAACATGTATTTGTTTTGTTGTTGTTGTTTTTGGTCCTGTGTTAGTTCGCTTAGGATAATGGCCTCCAGCTCCATCCATTCTGCTGCAAAGGACATGATCTTGATATTTTTTATGGCTGCATAGTATTCCACAGTGTATATGTACCACATTTTCTTTTTCTTTCTTTCTTTCTTTCTTTCTTTCTTTCTTTCTTTCTTTCTTTCTTTCTTTCTTTCTTTTTCTTTCTTTCTTTCTTTCTTTCTTTTCTTCCTTCCTTCCTTCCTTCTCTCTCTCTTTCTTTCTTTCTTTCTTTCTCTTTTCTTTTTTTTCTTTTCTTTCTTCCTTTCTGATGGAGTCTTGCTCTGTTGCCCAGGCTGGAGTGCAATGGTATGATCTCAGCTCACTACAACCTCTGCCTCCCAGGTTCAAGCAGTTCTCTTGCCTCAGCCTCCTGAGTAGCTGGGATTACAGGCATGCACCACCATGCTCGGCTAACTTTTGTATTTTTAGTAGAGATGGGGTTTCACCATGTTGGTCAGGCTGGTCTTGAACTCCTGACCTTGTGATCTGCCCACCTTGGCCTCCCAAAGTGCTGGGATTACAGGTGTGAGCCACCTTGCCCGGTCGCACCACATTTTCTTTATCCAGTCTTCTGTTGATGGACATTTAGGTTGATTCCATGTTTTTGCCATGTGCACATTTATGTGCATGCGTCTTTATAGTATGAAGATGGCATATAGTATGAATATAGTATGATATCTATTCCTTTGGGTACGTACCAATAGTGGGGTTGTTGGGTCGTGTGCTAATTCTGTTTTGAGTTCTTTGAGAAGTTGCCAAACTGCTTTCCACAATGGTTGAACTAATTTACTCTCCCACCAGCAGTGTATAAATGTTCTCTTTTCTCCACAACCTCCCAGCATCTGTTGTTTTTTGACTTTTTATTAATAGCCATTCTGACTGATGTGAGATGGCATTTCCTTGTGGTTTTGATTTGCATTTCTCTAATGATTACTAATGTTGAGCATTTTTGTCATATGCTTGTTGGCTCTGTGTATGTTTTCGTTTGACAGCATTTCTTCTCTGTGAGGATTAAAATGTATAAGGTACTTAGTGTAGTGTCTTTACATCATAGGCACTGCATAAATACATGATCATTTTTATTGTTTTCATTGGAAATTTTCTCCTTTGTTGAATTGAAATCTTTCTTCCTGGAGCTAATTCCCCAATTAATCTTAATTCTTACCTCTGAGGACCTCATAGAACAGGCCTTACGAAACATAATTTCAAATATTAAAGAAATTATTATATAAACTAAATACCCATTGCTCTTTCAGTCTTTTCTGACATTTTTAATTTTAATTCCCCTCTACCTTCTTGCTAATGGTTATGGTCGTTCCCAAACCTGTCTACCCTTTAGAATTGTCTGAGGAACTGTTTTTTCTTCCTTTAGACAGAGTGTCACTCTGTCACCCAGGCTGGAGTGCAGTGGCATGACCTTGGCTCACTGTAACCTGCATCTCCCAGGTTGCTGGGATTTACAGGCATATGCCACCACACCCAAATAATTTTTGTATTTTTAGTAGAGACAAGGTTTCACCAAGTTGGCCAGACTGGTCTCGAACTCCTGACCTCAAGTGATCTGCCGCCTCGGCCTCCCAGAGTTCTGGGATTACAGGCATGAGCCACCGTGCCCAGCCGAGGTCCTTGTAAAAGGACTTGTAAATTGCTGAAGTTTATTAAGTACATAATCTTGAACTTGGTAGGTCTGGAATGGGGCTCAAGCACATGCATTTTTAAAAAGCATCCCATTTGATTCTGGTGCATGCAGTTTAGAACCTGTAGCTCTAACCTGTTGATAGATAAATCACAGGTGTTAGGAAGAAGAGACTGTGATTTGCTAAGTTGGTCCTGTAAAGCAGTTTCTCAACTTCTAAACTCTTGACATTCTGTGCCAGATAATTATTTTTGTTGAGGTAGACTTTTCTGTGCACTGTGAGATGTCTAGGAGCATCCTGAGCTACTTTACCTACTAGATGCTGGTAGCACCTCCCTGTTCCCACTCCCAGGCTGTGACAAGCAGAAATTTCTTCAGGGGTTGCCAAATGACCCTTGGAGGAGAAAATCACCCCAGGTAGAGAATCATTGCCATAAAGGGTGGAAAAATCATAGTTCTGATAGTTGAAGAATAGTTCAAAATAACTCTCCACATACTTTGTTCTCTTAGTATCCTCTTGCATAAGTGCTACAAGTGACCAATCACAAAATTTGTGGATGGGTTAGTTCTGGTTTACTTGAAAGTAATCAAGCATTTTCAGTTTTTCTAATTTTCTGATATATAGTAGATCATGCATGGTCTTGTAATCTATCATTAGTCCTAAAATACTGCTAGTCTTTTTTTTTTTTTTTTTTTGAGATGGAGTCTTGTTCTGTTGCCCAGGCTGAAGTTCAGTGGCATGGTCTCGGTTCATTGCAACCTCTGCCTCCCTGGTTCAAATGAATCTCCTGCTTCAGCCTCCTGAGTAGCTGGAATTACAGGCATGTGCCACCATATCCCGCTAATTTTTGTTTTTTTTTTTTTTTTTTTGAGACGGAGTTTCGCGCTTGTTACCCAGGCTGGAGTGCAATGGTGTGATCTCGGCTCACCGCAACCTCCGCCTCCTGGGTTCAGGCAATTCTCCTGCCTCAGCTTCCCAAGCAGCTGGGACTACAGGCACGTGCCACCATGCCCAGCTAATTTTTGTATTTTTAGTAGAGACGGGGTTTCACCATGTTGGCAAGGCTAATCTGGAACTAGTGACCTCAGGTGATCCACCCACCTCGGCCTCTCAAAGTGTTGGGATTATAGTCATGAGCCACCATGCCTGGGCAATACTGCTAGTCTTTTGAAACCTTCTTTTTCATAGCATTGATAGTCATAACAACCTGATATATGCTACAATAGCAGGGAGAGAATCCTCCATTTAGGTATTTCCTTGCTTGTTCATTTTAGTATTCTGTTACTGATATTTATCCTTCTTCGTATATACCACTATTCCTCCACCCCCATCTCCAAACCATACAGACAGTAGTTTAGAGGAAGAATATGCTTGAGAAGACCAGTACCCAGTGGACACATGAGCTGTTACATGTCTAACTAGTTTCCTATTCAACTCTGTCTTGCAGTGAGAGCTTACAAGAAAATTGTAGAATTGAGACACCTCCTGGAAATTGCCGAGAGCAACTATAAACACTTGGGAGGGATAACAGAAGAAGATTTAAAGCAGAGGAAAGAACAGCTCGAGGCTGAAAAGTAACGTCCTTAAAACTGTAATGATTTATTTTTAAATACCTCTCTAAATGCCATGTGAGGGTTTGTTGGTCAGCAACTTGTTCTTTCTCTCTCTCTCTCTTTTTTTATTTTTTAATGAGACCGAGTCTCACTCTGTCACCCAGGCTGGAGTGCAGTGGTGCGATCTCAGCTCACTGCAACCTCTGTCTCCCAGGTTCAAGCGATTCTCATGCCTCAGTCTCCCAAACAGCTGAGATTACAGGTTCCCACCACCACACCTGGCTAATTTTTGTATTTTTAGTAGAGATGGTGTTTCACCATCTTGGCCAGGCTGGTCTTGATCTCCTGACCTCGTGATTTACCCAATTCAGCCTCCCAAAGTGCTGGGATTGCAGGTGTGAGCCACTGCGCCAGGCCTTGTTCTTTCATTTTGCCCAGGGGTGTTAGGGTCCATCCTGTTTTTCTCCTAAGCCCCCAGGTGACAAAGGAGTTAAGAATTTTAAAATAATTGTGATAAGATACATGTAACATAAAATTTACCATCTTAACCATTTTTAAGTATACAGTTCAGTAGTGTTAAGTACAATCCCATTGTTGTGCATCCCATCTCCAGAACTCCTTTCATCTTGTGAAACTGACATTCTGACATAGGCTCTGAACATTCCCATCAAGCTAGACTGCCCATCCACACATCTGAAACTAGGTCTTGTGTTCCCTGATTATAGTACCCATCAGAGAATGCTCTTGCATCTAGAGGCAGTGAGCAAGTGCATAGTTGTCTCTGCCTTTCACTTCCTGTACCCCAGATTGGCTCTCTGGACAATGGGTACGGTACCTCTTTAATTGCAGTTGGCTCTCTATATCTGTGAGCTCTGCATCTATGGATGAAACCAAACTTGCATAGACAATAATCAGGAAAAAAAAGGATGGCTGTGTCTGTACTGAACACCTGTAGCCTTTTTTTCCCTTTTCATTATTCCCTAAATAATATACTATAATAACTTATTGTATACTACTACAGTAAGTAAATCCATAGATGATTCAAAGTATACAAGAGAATGCATATAGATTTTATGAAGATATGTACATACTATGTACCATTTTAATGTAAGGGACTTAGCATCCATGGGTTTTGGTGTCTGTGGGGCCTCCTGGAACCAATTCCCCTTTGTTACTGAGGGACTACTGTAGTTAATAGCTGCTGGGATAGAGGATGCCTCGAGTTTCTTTTATCCTACTGTCCTTCTGCTTGTCATCTACTTTCCAGAATAAACAGAGAATGGAGAGAGACAGGAGAGGAGACCTGATTTAATCAAACATGGGTCTGGAAAGAGAACCATATAGGGATTCCTTTCTTTGTTCTCTGCTTTTCCTGCCCTTTCCTTTGGTTGTGTCTTGTTACCTCACACTCTTAGAACCGCCTGTTTCCCTTTCCTCCACCCGATTCTGAATCTAGCTCTGAAAGAGGTGTGCTAAATGTATTTAGAGTAACAGCTAAATCTTTGATAAGCTGACATTTGGCTCCAGTTTAAAAAAAAGAAAATAAAAAATAATATAAAGATTAATGTGTTATTCTTTCCTGGATGGCTACTTGGGAATTTAAACAGAAGGCAAAAACTTTAGGCCAAAATACTCAGTTTTTTTCTCTGCTACCCTAGGAAACCACTGCTTAATATGCTTTTAGACACTAGGAAGCTGTGGCAGACTGTTTTTTTTTTTTTTTTTAAATTGGGCCATCTTGGTATCTCACAAATCATATTGTATAGGTGTCTGTCCACTACCTCTATACTGTTTGAAGTGTTTTGAGATGTAGAGTATTTTTTAGTGTTAGTCTTGGCCTAAGAGCCTTCCTGAAAGTTCTTAGATTCTTTGTAGTCTGGAAAAGTACTTCATGATGGAACAATTATTTCCTACTAATGAGCTTTAAATTTTGGTTTCCTTTGCTTTTCTTCTAAAGCAAATTTCTATACTACCACTACAGCTGTTTGTATTACTTCTAAGCACTACTATATGCTGCACACCAGACAAGCTTTATCTCAAGCAATCCTCACAACTCCACCAGCTATACAGATTAGGAAACCAAGACTTAATGCAAAGATTAAGTAACTTGTGTAAAGTCACAGAGGGTGTAGAAAGGGTGTGGGAGGTGGAGCCAGGATTTGAGCGTTGTGTCAATGACTCTAACCCTGTTTAAGATCATTACAATTCTAATAGTCTTTAATGAAACTTTTAGTCAAATTGCTATGGAATAGTCTATCAGTGTGAAATATTCTTAATGTAAGTGATTTTTGAACAGTTTTTTTAATTGCTTTACGTTTGTGCCAGAATGCAGTTTCATATCAGCTGAGATGGCAGTGTTTCTTCTAAAGTTTTAATTCTTCTCTAGCATTTGTTCTCCACTTTGTGTTAAGTGCATCTTTTTTTTTTTCTTAATGGAGTCTTGCTCTGTCACCAGGCTAGAGTGCAGTGGTGTGATCTTGGCTCACTACAACCTCTGCCTCCCAGGTTCAAGTGATTCTCCTGCCTCAGCCTCCTGAGTAGCTGGGACTACAGGTGCACGCCACCATGCCTGGTTAGCTTTTTGTATTTTAGTAGAGACGGCCAGGATGTTGACCAGGATGGTCTTGATCTTTTGACCTCGTGATCTACCTGCCTCGGCCTCTGAAAGTTCTGGGATTACAGGTGTAAGTCACTGTGCCTGGCCCTTTTTTTTTTTTGAGACTGAGTCTCACTCTGTTGCCCAGGCTGGAGTACAATGGCATGATCTCGGCTCACTGCAACCTCCACCTCCCAGGTTCAAGCAATTCTCCTGCCTCAGCCTCCTGAGTAGCTGGGATTACAGGCATCTGCCATCATGCCTGGCTAATTTTTGTATTTTTGTAGAGGTGGGGTTTCACCATGTTGGCCAGGCTGGTCTGAAATCCCTGGCCTCAAGTGATCCACCTGCCTCCGCCTCCCAAAGTATTGGGATTACAGGCGAGGACCACCACACATGGCTGTGTTAAGTGCATCTTAAGACGTTTATTCTTTGGGTACAAACTCCTGATCTTAAATATAGTTGTAAAGAAAAACTGGACAAGTATTAGTTTGAGGGATGTCTTTTGATTTTTATTGTTATCCATCAGTTAGAGCAAACTCACAATACAATAAAATATATTTGTGTTACCCTGTCCTGGGGATGATACTCCCTTCTTATTTGCTGAACTTCTAGGCTTCCACAATTGACATTCTTCTTCTCTATCCCCAATCTTAACCTTTACTCACTTCTGTACCAGAACTACTACTGTATATTCTTAGATTGCCCTCCTGGGACCCAACCTAGGATGGCTTGGGAATTCTGTTTCCCCTCACCATTCAGTGATAAGGTAGAAAAAAATCCTGGTTCAAGTTACAACATCTCTTGTCTGGACTGTTGGTGACATCCTCTTGATAGATCTTCTACTTCCTGTCCCTGTCCCCATATCCCCAACTCCCCTACCCTGTAGTCTGTTCTTAACCCAGTATCCAGAGTAATCATATTAAAACAGAGTAATCATATCATATCCAGTGTAATCATATTAAAACAGTATTCAGAGTAATCATATTAAAGGTCAGATCATGCTGTTTTTCTACTCAGACTCTCCAGTGCCTTCCCATTTTACTAGAGTAAAAGCCAAAGTGCTGACTGTGATTTAGAAGGCCCTACTTATTCTGGTTCTCTTTTACCTGTCTGACTCACACGACCTTTCCTCTCTTTTTTTTCTTTTATAGGAAGAGTCTCACTCTGTTACTCAGGCTGGAGTGCAGTGGTATGATCACAGCTCACTGCAGCCTTGACCTCTTGGGCTCAAGAGGTCCCCCACATGAGTTTCCCAAGTAGCTGGGGCTATAGGCATACATCACCATGGAGATAACTTTAAAAAATTTTCTTTTTGGTAGAGGTGGGGGTCTCACTATGCTGCCCAGGCTGGTCTTGAACTCCTGGGCTCAAGTAGTTCTTCTGCCGTGGCCTCCCAAAGTACTGGGATTACAGGCGTGAACCACTCTGCCTGGCCTCTCTCAATCTCTCTTTTTTTTTTTTTTTTTGAGACAGAGTCTCGTTCTGTCATCCATGCTGGAGTGCAGTGGCATGATCTCGGCTCACTGCATCCTCACCAGTTAGGTTCAAGTGATTCTCCTGTGTCAGCTTCCCAGGTAGCTGCGATTAGGTTTCACTGTGTTGTCCTGGTGGGTCTCAAATTCCTGGACTCAAGTGATCCATCTGCCTTGGCCTCCCAAAGTTCTGGGATTATAGGTGTGAGTTACCGCGTCTGGCCTCCTTTTTATTCTTTAAACAGTTCTATTGTGTTGGCCTCTGGTGTTCTTGTACTTCATCAGGCCTACTTCTGCTTTAGGGCCTTTGCACTTGTTCCTTTTCTCTGGAATGCTTTTCCTCCAATGTCTATGTGGTTATCTCTTTTATTTCCTTCAGGCATTGTCTTAGAAGCCCCATCTCAATAAAGCCTTCCCTAGCCACTGTGTATGAAATGTTAATCCCATCCTCTACACCGTTTTATCATTTTATACTACTCTTTCCTGCTTTATTTTTGTTTTCTCCCTTAGCACTTATTATCTTCCAACATACCATATATTTTACTTATTTATTTTTCTTATTGTCTGCATATCTCTACTACTAAAGTAAGGTCCAGGAAGGCAGATTTTGGGCCTTTTGCTCACCACTATATCTCTAGTGCCTAGGTCAGTGCTCATTCAAAGTAGACCCTTAATACATACATATTTGTTGAATAAATGATTTCTTTATTTGCCTTAAACACAATGCAAGGATTCTTTCCACTATTAAAAATAATTGTTAGTTGACATTGGTGATTGATTTTTAAAAAACTTTGTTTTTGATAGGACCATCAAAGAACTGCAGGACCAGCTGGAGTATGAACGACTACGTAGAGAAAAATTAGAATGTCAGCTTGATGAATACCGAGCAGAGGTCAATCAGCTCAGGGAAACACTGGAAAAAATTCAAGTCCCCAACATTGTGGCCATGGTTAGTGTCCTTTTTAATACATTTATTTTTCTCAAAAAATATATACAAGAGTAGCTTAAGAGAACAAGCTTTGAGCTGGGGCTCTTTGGACCTTCCCCTTTTAACATACGAAAAACAGGCTCAGAGAGGTTAACTGACATGTCTAAATTCACCCAGTCAGTAGTGGTGGAATCAGTATTCAATTTCTGGTCTGGTCTTTTGATCCCATAGCCTTAGCCCTCTTGGCTCATTTCTTTTTTTTTTTTTTTTCTTTTCTTGAGATAGAGTCTTGCTCTGTCCCCCAGGCTGGGGTGCAGTGGCCCATTCTCGGCTCACTGTAGTCTCTGCCTCCCAGGTTCAAGTGATTCTCTGCCTCAGCCTCCCCAGTAGCTCCGATCACAGGTGCCCACCACCATGCCCAGCTAATTTTTTTTTTTTGTTTTTTAGAGACAGGGTTTCACTCTGTTGGCTAGGCTAGTCTAGAGCTCCTCATCTCAAGTAATCTGCCCGCCCCAGCCTCCCGAAATACTGGGATTATAGGCATGAGCCACTGTGCCCAGCTGCCTTGGTTCTTTTCAAAATGGGAATTATGAATTTGGACTTCAGAACATAGCACTAGAAAACAGAAAAATGCTTTGAATGATAAAAAGAAATATATAGAAGGAAGCAAAAAATAAACACGAGAAACATATAAAGAACAAGTACAGAATAGGAGGTGAAGTACAGAAAGCAGAATAAAAGTGACAGCAAGAGACCCATAGTATTTCATACCATCTAGTCTCAAAGGAGAGTAGGCTGAAAGTGTACCAGGGAAACTTTGACCCTTATTCTCTTTTATAAGTGAAGTTGGTCACAGTGTGGCCCTGTAGACAGATCATTGTGATACAATGTAGGGATTCAGGTACGTTTCATATTTTCTTTCCATAGGGAGGTTTCTTCATCAGTCATCATGGATGGATTAATTCTGTTTGAGGCTTGTGTCACCTCAAATCTGATCTATTAATATTATAGAAACTTCCTGGCTTCTTTTTATTTTACAGAAACCAGTCATTGGTCTCTTTACTAAGTACTTTAAAAATATTAAAATAATAAAACATGTTTGATGTGTAGTGTTAAAAACAAGATAGATGTTCTTTCTGACGCTAAGTTCCACTCTCCAGAGGAAGCTACCATTAACAGTTTAGTACATACCATATTAGACAAAATTCTGTTTATCTGCAAACATGTATGTGTATTTCTATGCATATATAAATATAGACCAGTTTCTCAGTTTCTTTGGGTTTTGGTGTCTCACCAGTGCTTGATTTTCCAAGGAATATAATTAACTATAATAATTAATCTATTCTCTTCATTTTTGCAACCCTCTTCTTGTGCTACCATTGGCCTGTGGGGAAACTTTAATATCAGAGAGGCCAGCTGTACAGTCATGTGGTGTTGGCTAGAGGGCTAGAGGACACAGCACCATTTATAACTTACAGCTTCCAATCACATCTGTTACCTCTCCACCTTGTGGCAGGGACTCTGTGACTCCTAGTCTCCCCCAAAGTAGAAAGGTAAGTTGTTGTTGTTTTTTCTTTTTTTGAGACAGGGTCTTGCTCTTGTCACCCATACTGCAGTGCAGTGATGCCATCATCACTGCATGGCCTCGAGCTGTAGCCTCGAGCTCCCTAGGTTCAAGTGATCCTCTTGCCTCAGCCCCCCAAGTAGCTGGGACTACAGCTGTGCACCAACACACTTGGCCAATTAGTTTATGTATTTATTTTTTGTAAGGACAGGATCTTGCTTTGTTGTCAAGGCTAAGCTGTTGTTCTTCAGCTGCCTAGGACGGACAATCTTTTGGGGTAGTCACCCAAGCTGCACATTTTCTTTTGAGCCATTCAAAACTGTCTACTTTCTATCTTTTAGCTATTTAGAAATTCTCTTTTCTTACTCAAAAGCATCTGTTCTTAGGTTGAATCTGGTTTCATACTCCACAGTTCTGCTTCTCTAAAACTTCACTCTATCAACAATGTGAGAGCTGACTCAAGGTCACTATGCTTGAAGTTCATGTTTTTTTGCATTCTTGCTTTAGTTTATACCTAATTTTTGTAAATAAGCAAATGTCACTGAGCTTTCATGGCAGCTGCAACTCTGGCACTGCTTATTTTCACTTGCAAAAGCTTGAATCTCTATTTCCTCGTCTTTAAAATGAGACATAATAATACCTAAACCTCATGGGATTGTATTGATGTTAAATGGAATCTTGGGTAGAAATCCTGAATGTAGTTTCTAGCACACTAAGCTAAGGATAAGAAGAATGTATTTGGGAGTCTAATTATATGTGAAGTATAAGTAAAATGAACTTTTCATTCAGGGCTATAAATATGGATGATTCATTAAGAAGTCCTGACTAAGTATTTCTCCTGCCACCTTCTGGTCAGGACCTATGATTGCACACTATTGTACCTTAAAATCAGCTCCCAAAATAATTTGCAGTAGTATAATTTTTACTGAGAGAAAAATTCTTAGAATAGTTTTCTAGGATAGTTTGACATATATAAAGTGCTTAAATGGTTTTTTGATAACAGCTGTTTTTAACTGCACTTTCTCAGATATTGTCTCATTTTAGTCTGTATCAACCCTATGAGGAAGTAGAATGATGTACATATTTTTGATCCCTGTATTATAGATGAGAAAGCAGAGGCTCAGAGAAGCATAGAGCTAGTGTAAAGCCGGAACAAACTCAGACTCTCTGCCTTCAGATTATATTTTTCTAATACCTCTGTGGAAATGACTATCAAATCCATACTTTAGTACCGTGTCCCCACCAGGGCTCCTCACCTGTATTTCTCACTACTTGTCAGCTGGACATTTCCACCTGAAATTCCTGGTGGTGCTTTAATAAAAATAAATGTCCAGAATCAAGCTCAATATCAAGACCAGATTCTCTCCCCTGTTTCTGCATTTAAATTAATGGCATCACTATTTTCTCAACTACCCAGTCTTAGCCTCTTAATGATTAGTCATGTTTTCTTCCTTAAATCATATGGAAAGTGAGCCCATCCTGTAGGCAGGAAAATGCTCCCTACTTTTGCTGCTTCCCTAGTTTAGGTTTCTGTATCTTTCTATCTGAACTACTGTTAAGAGAATTTTGGTGTTTACTCCTTTCCTATCCAAATCCATCTGACTCACAGAGGTCAGCTTGATCTTCTTGTCACTCCTTGGTTTGAAAATGTTCCTTGCTTGAATAAGTACAGATTCTTCAGTTTGACCTTCAGTCCTAACCTACCCCACAAGCTTTATTTTTGTCTATTCTCCTACATATATTAATAGCTTATTTTTTCTTAAGCTACCCTATGCTTTCCTATCATTAAGCCTTTGTTCAATTTGTCCATATACCTTGAAAGCTGCCTGTTGACTCTGGCTCTCAGAATCCCCTAGGAACCATCTCATTTATCACCCCTTTCCTAGTCTCCCTGGTCACACGTGATCTCTCCTTCCACCAAGCATTTTGTACTGGTCTGAGGGCTTCCCTCATCTGTATTGCAGCATGTCTGGGCACTTAGCCCACATACTGAAAATCTAAGTTTTATGAGATCATTAATTCATGTTAATAACACATCTTGGCCATCATTAACAATAGATTTTGAGTATGTTGGGCTTAGTGTTATTAAGACTTTATATTTCAGCAGATATCATCCTCATTTTACAAATGAAGAAATCAAGTCTCAGATGAAATAAACAATTTATAAAGTGACAAAGCTTGTTAGATGGCTAGCCATGATTTCAATCTGTCTAGCCAAAGTCTATGCTTTTAACACCTCTTGTTATTGCCTTTATGAACCCCTCACCCTCCTCTTTCTGTGCTTTTAAGAATGTTTATTTTGCACTTTGGGAGGCCGAGGCGGGTGGATCATGAAGTCAAGAGATCGAGACCATCCTGGTCAACATGGTGAAACCCTGTCTCTACTAAAAATACAAAAATTAGCTGGGCATGGTGGCGCGTGCCTGTAATCCCAGCTACTCGGGAGGCTGAGGCAGGAGAATTGCCTGAACCCAGGAGTCAGAGGTTACGGTGAGCCGAGATCGCGCCATTGCCCTCCAGCCTGGGTAACAAGAGCGAAACTCTGTCTCAAAAAAAAAAAGAATGTTTATTTTGAAAATTTTTCTTTAAAAACTCTTGATGATAGCTTTTTGATAGGGTTAACTTACTTATGAAAACTTAACGATTGCTAATAATTTTGTTAAAATGTTACAGTGTAAGTTCAAACATATATTTCAAAATGTGTCTTAAATTGGAAGTTGAGATGATAAACTATAACATGGTCTTTCTTCATGATCTTGGGGTAGGAAAAAAATGGATACTGGACTTCATTAACCTAAGACTTAAGTTCATCAAAGATTATATGAACAGATTTGAAAAGGCCTGCCAAAGTGTAGAAAAATATATTTCCTTTCTTCTGCTTTTCTTTCTTCTCTCCTATCTGAAAAGGAAGTTGTATCCAGAATATATAAAGAACTTGTACAAATCAATGCGAAAAAGACAGTCTAGTAAAAAACTGGGCAAGACTTGAATAGGCACTTCACAAGAGAAGATATCTAAGTGGCCAGTAAACAAGAAATTGTGCTCAAAATCCCTGGTTATCAGAAATGTAAATTAAAACTCAAACAAGATATCCATATATACCCATCCAAATGGGTATATATTAACATTAAAACAGACATTACCAAATGTTGGTGAAGGTGTGGAATAACTAGAGATTTTATACACCAATGGTGGCAGTGTAAATCGGCTTAACCACTTTGGAAAATTCATTCCTAGTGGAATTAGTACATGTTTCTTCGTGTACACAGATGGACACCAAAAAAAAATACAAGAATGTTCATATCAGCATTATTGTATATACGTCCCTCAAACTTGAATCATCTAAAAATTCCCTCAACAGTAAATCAATACATTTTGCTATATTCATACAATGGCATATATGAATTATCCCTCTACACATCACCATGAATGAATTTCACAAACACAATGGTGACTAAAAGAAAACAATATGAAAGAGTACATACTGTATGATTCCATGTAGTCCAAAAATAGGTAAAATAAGTCAAGTCAGTAGTGCCTGGGAAGGGGCAAATGGAGGTTTCTGGGATGCCGGTAATGTTCAATTTCTTGATCTCAGTCATGGTCACAGGAGTGTGTTCACTTCGTAAAAATTCATCAAACTGTCCTTTTTTTTTTCCTTTGTGCTCTTTGGTACATATATATTACACTTTAAACATTAAACTAGATGGGAACTAATAGCTTTGGCAGAGCTGTCTGTCTAGCTCTGGAGATGTATGTAGCGCCAGTCTCCAGAACCAGTATTAAACAAAAGAGGGAATGGGGAAGTTAGGGAATGATTAGCAGCTCTATGGGAATGGCAAAAGAATCCAGATGACATACTGACACTTTATTAGCAATATGTTGTTAAATATTGGTGTCTGGGGATCTATTAGGTAGGGATAAAACTGAATGAGATAAGATTGAAAATTGGCTGTATCTGATAAGTAGCCACCTCTTTCTTACTACATTTTCTGTATTCTTTCTCTAGTTCTTAAGGTTCCTCCCAGTCATACAATTCAGCACAATATGATGCACTGGTACTTCAGATTTGGGAATTTATTCACAAAAAAATCCTAAAAGAAATTTAATCAGAGTTGAAAATACTAGTATGGTTAATTTTTTTTCCTTTTGAACAGGCAATGTAGAAAGCTGAAAATGTGTGCTAGCATGAAAATGGCATTTGACCCTCTTTTCCTTTGTTTATAGGAAGACAGCACTTCTTGTGAGTCAAACAGAGAGAAGAGGCGAGTAAAAAAGAAGGTTTCTTCTGGGGGAGTATTTGTGAGACGGTACTAATCAGGGAAATAACTAAATAAACCTGCTTGATTTTTCTCTTTCTTTTAAAAAATTGATATAAATGTAAGTCTATAAAACTATCTCAGAATTACTCTGATATGCTTCTGTTCCAACTCTGAAAGCAGAAATATGTTACACTAAAGAGATATAGAGATTTTTTAAATGGCACAGACTCAGTTGTACACCTTCTCCCAATATGCTTCTTATATATTGCTACACAGGCAAGTCAAGAGATTTATGAGTAATTAATTTTACAAGTATTCACGTAAACTTTAAAATATTAGATCGTATAGTCATCAAAAGAAATCTAGTTCTAGATGTTAAAAATTATTAACAATTCAACTATGGCTCCATTATGGAATCATATTTCTTTCACTTTCTAGAGAGTACCCTTTACTTCTATTAGTGTGAATATGTTTTTAAACACTTTTTTTCAAATGACGTAACTGCAAGCTTTTTAAAACTATAGAGAAGAGGCAGACTGGACAGGATAAAAAAACACTTGGCTTTATTTCTTCCTCTTTTCCCCTAGATCTTAAAGATTAGTAGTGCTTGGTCAACCAAAAAGCAACTATGGCTTTTCAGTTCAGTTCTGACTTCAATTACCTTTTTTCCTACCCCCCTCTATTTTCTCCTCTCTTCCCTCCATAGGCTAGCAAAGATTTATGACTCTCTTGTGGCCAGCTGTGTAGCTCCTGTCTCCCCCTGAAGATCTGTTGCTGGTTTAGGGCTTCCCTGGCAGCTGCCTTCCCACCATTCCACAGTCTGCCTACCCTCTGGACCCCTGCATGCACTTCATGTGGACACTAAAGTTATTTCGACCGAGTATCATCAGAACTAGTTTGCCCTGACAAGAATGCATTTGATTGTTGAAACCAGTTCAGCAGATTAAGGGTCTGTAAATAAGTGTTAAAAAATGAACTTTTGCTGCCAAGGTTAATCCCAGCTCTGCACTGTTGTGTAATCCTAGGCACAACTACTTAATCTCTTTCTATAAAATATACCTACCTCATATGGCTGTCACTGGGAGAATTAAGAGATAGTAACAGATCTTACACAAAGTGCCCAATAAATGTTGACAACTACTATTAGTATAGATTGAAAGCCACAGAAACCACAGAAGTACTAAAAATATATAAGGATTATTAAAAGGATAGGTGAGTCATTTTTAACATTTGCTTACAGACCCTTAACCAGCTGAACTGGTTTCAGCAATCAAATGGACTCTTGTCAGGGTAAACTAGTTCTGATACTAGGTCAAATTGGCTTTGGTGTCCATGTGAGGTAGATGCAAGGGTCCAGAGGGTGGGAAGTTTGGTATATGGTGAGAAGGCTGCTGCCAGGGAAGCCCCCAAACCAGCGACAGATCTTCAGAGGGAGATAGGAGCTTCACAGCTGGCCCCAAGAGAGTCACAAATCTTTGCTGGCTCATGGTGGGAAAAGAAGAGAAAATAGAGGGGGGTGGGAAAAAAGAGGGAATTGAAGTCAGAACTGAACTGAAAGCCATAGTTGTTTTTTGGTCAGCAAAGCACATTTATTGGGAACTCTAAGATTTGTGCCAAGCAAGCCCTTAACTATCTCTGAATTGTCACGACAGCCATAAGAGATAGGAATATTTTATAAAGTAGTTGTGCCTACAATTATACAATGTTGAGCTGGGATCCTAACCTTGGCAGCAAAAGTCTGCATTCTCTTATCATTAATGGAATTTCCAGACCATTTTCCTCCCCTTCTGGGACTACACATAGCCTTACTTTTCCCCTCTAACTTGCTGCTAAAGTAATCCCAAACCTGGAAATAGTTTATTTGCCCCAGTTTTCTTTAATCTCTTTTTGTACCAGTGAGACAGAAAATACCAGAATAGTGTTGTAATAAAAGCATACACACCCTGTGGCAGAGGTTCCCTGGTTGTCCTCCAAAATCCATTCTCCCCTCTTCCATAGTGGGAAGGATTTTTCTGGGTTTGTTGCTGCTCACGATAAGGACTAACTTCCCAGCTTGGCTTTGCAGCTAAGAGACCAAGTTGCGTCCAGAAGGATGTGAGCAAAAAATGTTACGTAAAACCTTAGGGCCATGGCTCTAAAGTCACCTCTTGCTCTTTTCTTCTTCTGGAATGTGGATGTGGTGGTGAGTCAGCCACTGGACCTTGTGAATGAGGGGAACACAAGGATGGCAGAGCAGTAAAATAAGGAGCACGGGCCCCGACACGATAGAGCTGACATATTGGCCCTAGAATGCTTACATTGGACTGTAAGAGAAAAATAAACCTAATCTTATTTAAGCCACTACTATTCTGGGTTTTGCTACAGCAGCTAAATTAAAAGTGTAATTCCAAAATTAAGTATATTTATTTATAAATAATATACATATATTATTGACACGTTAGGTTAATGAAACAAAAAAAAACAAGTGGAAAGGATATTGAAGAGATTTAAGTTATTTTGTTCCTATGACTCAGTAGATTGTCCATCTCATGAGAAATAGTACTCAGGTTGGACACTGGTTGTATATTGAGTGAAAGCATGAGAGAGTGATTTGGAGTTGAAGACTTGAGTCCCTGTGACTTATTTGCTGGGGACTTGGGACAAGTTACTTTACTTGGCTAAACTTGTTTCTTCAACTGTAAAATGAGGATACCGTCTACCTAAGAAGAGAGCTGTGAAAATAGCTGAGCATATATATATGTTATTTAGCATATTTGCTGTTATTTAGCATATTTGCTGTCATATAGTCAAGGATAGCTATTCTTTTTCAAAACAACATTCAGTAATTTCAGCAATCATAACCATAGCCTTTCCCACTGCTCCTTTTTTTAAATATTAAAAAATAAAGTGGGAGGCCGAGGCGGGTGGATCACGAGGTCAAGAGATTGAGACCATCCTGATTAACATGGTGAAACCCCGTCTCTACTAAAAATACAAAAAATTAGCTGGGCATGGTGGCGCGTGCCTGTAATCCCAGCTACTCAGGAGGCTGAGGCAGTAGAATTGCCTGAACCCAGGAGGCGGAGGTTGCCGTGAGCCGAGATCGCGCCATTGCACTCCAGCCTGGGTAACAAGAGCGAAACTCCGTCTCAAAAATGAAAGAAAGAAAGAAAGAAAAAAGAAAGAAAGAAAGAGAGAGAGAGAGAGAGAGGGAGGGAGGGAGGGAGGGAGGGAGGAAGGAAGGAAGGAAGGAAAGAAGAAAGAAAGAAAGAAAGAAAGAAAGAAAGAAAGAAAGTGTTACATATCTAAATTCTTAAAATTTGAAAACATTATAAGTTTTGAATTGTCTTTCCAATATGGTAACGGTTTTTCCTGACTCTTGCCAAGTTCTTACCTACTCTTGCCTAGCCTATTGTGTCACCAAAGCAGTATGGATAGGTTAGCATCTATACTGTGGCTATACACATGGTGAAAGTAGCTAATCCTTTTGGAGCCTTCTTACCATAGAAAATGCCCAAAAGGTATATTATGCTCAGAAACTCCGTATGAATGAAATATTTTCAACATATTAAAAAATTTGGATTAAGGCCAACTGAGATTTATGAGTCTCATTTATTCCACAGGCATTTAACAAGTACCTCATATGTGTCTAGAGGCCTTCTGAGAACTTGTAGTTTAGTGTAGGAAAAAGATATATACAATTGCTGTTTCATAGTGAGGTGCAAGTGCTAGAGTAGACGTATAGTTTTGCGGCATATAGAAACACCATCCTCTCATCCATCTTTATTTCATATATTGCCATCTAAACAAAAATAAAAAAAATATACAACCAGTGTCCAACCTGAGTACTATTTCTCATGAGATGGACAATCTACTGAGTCATAGGAACAAAATAACTTAAATCTCTTCAATATCCTTTCCACTTGTTTTTTTTTTGTTTCATTAACCTAATGTGTCAATAATATATGTATATTATTTATAAATAAATATACTTATGAACCCCATCAAAATGAATTTTCATGGAAAGGGTATAGGATCTAAAAGTAATGGGGACAGGGTATGGTATGCATATTTCTATTCTTCTGTTACTGGATACAAAGCACTTTGTTTGGTAAACCCCTATGATGACAAAGAACACAGATCTATTTAATATTTCGTCGCTGTATAACCTGGGAATATGCATTTTTATTTGTTGGGACTTGAGAAGGTCCAATAAATGGCATATCTCTTTTCCATCTTGGTTGTGAATATAACTAAGATGAAGAATGTAAGCTAATATAGAGGCCTAAACAACCCCTTTGTTTACTGATAAAACTACTGGAGAATTGGTTTTAGGAGTCAGAGTCTCATGTGTTGCGCAGGCTGGAGTGCAGTGACTATTTATAGATATGAACATGGTACACTTTGGCCTTGACGAACTCTTTGGCTCAAGCAATCCTGCTGTCTCAGTCTCTCAAGTAGCTAGGACTATAGATGTGTGCCACTGTACCCAGCAAGAGAAAATGGGTTTTATCTTCAGGCCAGTAAGCTTTCTATCACTGAACTCTAGAATTGGACAGACTGACCCTGTCTCAAGCATTGCTTTGCTAGGCCAGGCCTCACCCTGCAGAGGCAGAGCCTTATCCCATAGAAGCAGAACAGAATGAATGTCTCTGCAGATAGACTGCTCCCAAACAGGAGTAGGGAGGAAGTGGGTTAATTGTGCCTTGTTTCTCCTTTCAAATTTGCAGTTGGGCAAGTCACTTTACCTAGGGCAGAGTGGATAAGGGGATGAAGAGTGACGACAATGTTATGCTACTGGAGCTTTCTTCACATGGAGGAAAGACGCATTCCCTCTTAATATTTTAGGAAAAAAAAATATGTGTGTATATATATATATATGTGTGTGTATATATATGTATGTATGTGTATATATATATATACGTATATATATATATATACGTATATATATATATTAAGATGGAATCTTGCTCTGTTGCCTAGGCTGGAGTGCAGTGGCGTGATCTTGGCTCACTGCAACCTCCGCCTTCCAGGTTTAAGTGATTCTACTGCCTCAGCCTCCCAAGTAGCTGGGGCTACAGGTACATGCTACCATGCCTGGCTAATTTTTTGTATTTTTAGTAGAGATGGGGTTTCACCATGTTAGCCAGGATGGTCTCGAGTTCCTGACCTCGTGGTTTGCCCCCTTTGCAAAATGCTGGGATTACAGGTGTGAGCCACTGCGCCTGGCTAGAATATTTTAAATTATAACAAAACAATAATTTGTTTTCTTGTTTAACATCTCTCTTCTTCACTAACATTGTCAATTCCATGAGAATGAAACCATGTTCATCTCTGTGCACATAGAGACTAGCATGTTGTTTGGCATATAGAAGGCAGTCATATTGGTTAACTGAACAAATGCAGTGTAGTTTGTTACAGTGGACTTTAACTTTTATGGCCACTTATTAATTAACCCAGTGAAAATTCATCTACAATGTGCTAAGGACTCTCTTAGGCAATATGATTGTGAGATAAAAATGAATCAGAATGCAACAGGATAATGTCAAAAGAGTTTTTCTTTTGAAAACAAACCAGCAGTTAGATTCTTGAGGAAAATACAGTTGGAAAGTCTCTGACTGTCACTCCCTGGACCATGTGGACCAATCTCTTGACTGCTCTATACTGCAGATTCCCTGTTTATAGCTAAACAAATGACAAGGCTATTTTGAATAACTAATTGTCAAACTTTTATAGCTATCACCAAGGCATTACGAAATCAAAATGTTTATGTTCTGGTCTTGGATTCTTGATCTGGATAAAGCTGAAGAACTAAGATGAAAAGAACATTTTAAATTTCTTTGAAATTACATATGATTTTCTAATAGATATTACTTTATAAGAAAATAAAAGGCAGACCTAATAACAAAACAAAATAAGAATTTAACTTGCCCTATGAGTTTCTTGAAAGTAGGTATTAGATATCAATAAATGTTTGAATTTAAATTATTAAGAAAAGCTTTGTTTTATATAATAAAGATGAGTTAAACTAGTTAAAGCAGGGATAAACTTTTTGTGTATCAGAAATTTTAAAAATACATGTAATAATTAGAGCTCAATATTTAGCAACTCTACGGATTTCATATTAAGTGCTGTATATTTGCACTAAAGTACACATTCATTCATTCATTCATTCATTTGATGGATGATAGCCTGGCTCTGTCACCCAGGCTGGAGTACAGTGGTGTGATCTTGGCTCACTGCAATTTCCTCCTCCCGGGTTCAAGGGATTCTCCTGGCTCAGCCTCCCGAGTAGCTGGTATTATAGGCATGTGCTACCACGCCTGGCTAATTTTTGTATTTTCAGTAGAGACGGGATTTCACCATGTTGGCCAGGCTGGTCTAGAACTCCTGACCTCAAGTGACCCACCCACCTGGACCTCCCAAAGTGCTGAAATTACAGGTGTGAGCCACCATGTCTAGCCTATTATTTTAAAATTTATTGTTTTAGTTCATTACCAAAAAGAAATGAATCTCTAACTAACTATATGGTAAGTCACTTTTAAAATCCACACAACTTTGTTTTAATAATCTTTTATTTTATAGAAAAATGTAATTATGCAATGGTTATTAGGAAAGTTATTTGAGTAATAAGTATGTAGGCTAGGGAATAGTTTTCAAATATGTAGCCAATACCAACAGAATCCTGTATGATTTACACAATTGTTCAAGCAAACACAAGAAAACTGGTTCAATTTCTATGAACTATCAAAAGGACGAAACGCTCTTCCATCTCAAACCAGGTTTGAATGACAGCTTTTCAATATAAAGACACACACACTATAAAGATAAAATATGTCTTCTCATTCTAAAACACTTCCTCTTTTAGTCCATGTATACTTTAAATAAACTTGTGTAGTCAAGTTTTGCTGCAGCTGACAATGTTCAAAGTGAATCTCTCTTGGTTTGGTGTTCTAAGAAGCCAATAGCCGCAGCAGTACGAGCATTAATACTACTTCCAGAATCTATAAAATCCCAATGCTATTGCCAGGCAAGTAAACACTGAGGCTGTTAAAAGAAGAAACTATGTTATAGGTCTTGTATTTGTGAATATTTTGCAGAGATCAAGAGAATAATGTTATCTTTAAGTGAAGAGCAAAAAACAAAGGAAATCCAACCAATTTTCTATCCTATGTTTTTTATTCCCTAGAAAATTAAGGATGAAAGACATTCTTAAGGGCAGCATTAATGCCCAATTCTTCTTAAAAGAGCCTGTATATTAAAATGCAAATTATATGTCATTTAGAACTTATAAATTATATTTAAAATCATTAACATTAGCATTATTGACTATATAATTATAAGCTCTAATTACAGATCTCATAATGAGCTAATGATCTCATTCAAATCTTTCTTATATTAAAAAATTATGTAGTTAAGCTAGTAGAATAAACATCCATATGTCTATGAGAAGAGAATTTTAATTGCCTTTTCAGTACATTTTAAAATAATTTCTCTTAGTAAAAACTCTTTAAACTCAAGTAGAAGAAAAGCAGAAAAAGCATCAGGTTTTTAAAATAGTTAATATACTAGCTGTACTTTATGTTACATCATTTTGGATAAAAAAAGCTTCTGTTTTCCCAGCTTTTAGAAGGTAAGACTGAGTGAGGCCTTTGGGGACTCCTTAGTCTCCTGTTTGTTTAAAACACCAATTAATGAATTTTAAAAACAGACAATTTAGAGATGAAGGGAAAACTTTTATGAATAAAGACACAAGAAAGCCTTTCAAAGTAAAGTTATTCATAATATATAAACCCATTTGTATACCATTCCCTTTGATCCTACTACTTAGTGAAACTTGGTTAATGATAAGATTATTTTCTCAATTTTAAGAAACGGCATTAGGCATCTCTAAGACATATAGAGAAGGGCATTTGAGAAGTAATAACACTAAGAGTTTCTTGTTTTACTGCCACTGGTTGATCCTGCGACTATTTGCCACATGTCAGGTAGTGTGCTAGTGTGCTGAGCAATTACATACACTATCTATTTAACCACGAGATTGGTGGTATTATCCCCATTGTACAGATAAGGTAATAAGCCCAGTTATATCACTAGCAAGCAGTGAAGACAGGATTTAAGACTAAGTGTACTTGACTCTAAAGCTGTTTTTTTCTTTTAATAAAAAAACACACAAAAGATTTGTTACCCTTATTATATATTGTGACACTGGCAAGACTCAATCTGTCATTTATTTGAGCCACATAGTGCTAAGTGGTTACATCCTCTGCTGATTTAACAGCTGATAAATTAAGTTTTAGATAACCAAAATGAACATTTATTGTGAGGTAGCAGGCATTTTGATCCTTTGGTAGACTATACAATCGACTGCATTTAAATTTCTCTCTCATGTCTTGCTGCTGTTATTTCAGCTTTTATTTCTCATGGCTGTTGCTGTGGTAACTATGGAGCCATTCCCAAATTCTTTTAAATTTGCTGTTTATCCTCTATACCCTGTCTAGAGAGACGTTCTACATATATGTAAAATGCTTAGGTGAGCATGTGCCTGATACATTTTAAGCACTCTGTAAACATTAGTTTTCATTATTTATCTGCCCAGAACAAAATATGCCACATTTTCTACAGAGATTAACCACATAGATTGAATGGAAATTGCCATTATTCCTTGGCAGCAGTGTTCTGGGACAAAAGGTGGTATATGACCCAAGATGAACCATTCAGACTCCTTTCTGAGGATTTTAAAAATTGGAACTAAAGAAAGAAGGCAATCTCTCCTGATTAGTGAAAGTGGAATGATAAAAGAGTCTAGGTGGTAATGTTTCCAACCCATGGAGAAAGCTGGTATGAGCAAATGAGGTACACATTCACAGATTTAAAGAGTAAGTTCTGATTCCAAGTACCCTTGTAGGTAGGCTATTTTACTTGTGCCCCGTGCCCCTTCCATGGTTCAGCTGATGTCTGCGGGCTCCATCTTCAACCCTGCTGGCACCTCAACATCAGTGGTGACTGCCCAGAAAATGACTAAAAGTATAAATCTGCAGTTTTCTTTTAGACAGCAATTTGTTAATGTCAAAAATTTTAAATGTGCATATCTTTTTGACCCCAAATTTTAAATGTACATAGCAAGTTGTTATATAGAAATGACTGCACAAAGATGTGTGTGTTTTTACTCAAGCATACACATATATATGGCTGTTCAATACAGTATTGTCCTTAATAATGAAAAACTGGAGTGAGAATGCCTATTAATAGAGGACTGGATACATAAATTTTGGCATTTTCATATAGAGAATACTGTGCTTTCTAATAAAATGATGTCTGTGTGTATTGATGTGGAAAGAAATAAGACATTTGGTTCAATTTTTAAAAGTTGTAGAATATAAAAATATGTGATCTAATTATTTTTAAGAAGTATATAAAATGTTTATATACAGAAGAAGCCTAGAAATGTTTACTACTAATAGTAAATACACATGGGGAGGGGCTTTCACTTTTACTGCTTTTAAATTCTATGAATAATTTATAATGAAAATACTTTTTATAAAAAGAAAGAAAAAAGACAAGTAATAGTTGACTAGGGCATTGTTTCTAACTACTGGGGCCCTATAATTGGGTCAGGTCAGATGGTACTTGAGAAGCTCAGTATGTGACAAATAATCTAATTTTGGGGTAGTATCTAAGCTGCATCAGTTGATTCAAGGTAGGAGGTCGTCTCTCCCCCCTTCAGGTTTTTAATGAGCTTATATCTACTTTATTGATCTTTTTCTCTAACCTCATTCAAATCTTTGTGGAAGAACATGAGCAATAAAAAGAAAATTTTCATTATTTCGCTGTGGAATATCCAGTTTATCCTTCTATTATTTTGTGCTTGTGTTTATATATTTCTTTCTTTTTAAAAAAACTTTTAAATCCAATTATTCCCATTGTATATATGCTTCTTTTATATCCACATGCTTTTTCTATTAGTAAGCTGCAGAGTTGCCTGCTACACTTGTATTCTGAAGGTTAACACATCTGTGAGGATGACAGAAGCTTCACATTGAGAACTGTCCAATACTATACCCTATATGTTTTTTCCTTTGGCTGGATCTAATTTGTAATCTGCTGTAATAAAAATTGCAAGTAATTAAAAAAAATACAAGACTCCCCAAAATATATCCTGAGACTAGAACCTTCTTTAAGCATTACAGGGACCAAGCAATAAAGGAGCCTTGTTATAGCTCCTTTTTTTCCCCCGTGCCTGCATAGTTACCTTGGTAGGTAGGTACTAACAGGATAACTAGATGACAGCAGTTTCTTTCTCTAACAGTCTTACCTGCAAGATAACGAATGGTCTCAAGTTTGTTAGACTCCATCAGTGTTTTTAAGGAAGCAATTTCAGCATCAATTTTATTACTGGTCTCTGAAATAATACTTTTGGTTTGGGTATCCTGTAGTAAACAAGAATAAGAGAACATAATTTGTCCCTGTTTAAATGGACAAAAAAACATTTACATCAGAAACCCTCACTTATGGGCTGTGATACAAAAGTCTTAGTTGGAGAGAAACAGTAAAAGCATAGTGGCATAAAAAAAATAAATTAAAAAAAACCCTACAAACTGACAAATCACATTCCTTCTACTTTCGTCTTTGGAGATCATCTCTTAGGATTATCACATACTGGGAATATTCTACTAAAAACCTCATAATAACATATTTGATACCTAAATATGTAAGATGATAAACTGAGAAACAAAAATTAAGTCACAGAACTATCATTTTATGTGTGCAAAGTCCTTAAGATATTATGGTTAAAACTTTAAATATAATCTACAAATGAAAAAAAAAAAACCAGATATATCAACTGGCACCAGTATTAAAAACATTGGAAGAAATACCTGATGGATAACACTGATACATGTAGAGAGGACAAAAGGTAGGGAGGAGAGATGAGACCTAGATCACAGAAAGTAGTTGTAAAAGACTTTGCTGATTTCCTTGCTTATCTCCTTTATCTGGCCAAGAAGTAAGAGAAGAGAATAAGATCTTTGAAAGAACAAGTGTGACCTTCTCTTCTATTAAATTATGAGCAAGAGTGACATATTTTCTGTTAGAATGTGTACAAATGGCTCTGAACTTTTAAGAAAAGGACAAGGCTGAGTCAGAAAGTGGGGTTTCACTCAAGCCATAGAGATGAAGTCGCAATTACATTGCAGGATTACTGACAAGGAAAGCAGTAGTTCCTAGTTTGGGATTTAGACTACAGGTTCTTTTCCTAGTGCCACCACTTACTGTGTGACCTTAACCTCATTGTGTCTTATTTCCCAAATTGGTAAAATGGGAATAATGTCTATCTCACAGAGACCGATACAAGTAAAGCATGTAAAATGGTATCTGGCACATTAATAAACACTACATATTTAGTATGTTTTTTTTAAATTTTTAAACCTTAAGAAAATTATTTAACTGAACGTAGGTACTCATTTAAGTACCAATGATGAATATCAATAGTGAATCTTTGTCTTTTTTTTTGTTTTTTGTTTTGAGACGGAGTTTCGCTCTTGTTACCCAGGCTGGAGTGCAATGGCGCCATCTCAGCTCACTGCAACCTCCGCCTCCTGGGTTCAGGCAATTCTCCTGCCTCAGCCTCCGGAGTAACTGGGATTACAGGCACGCGCCTCTATGCCCAGCTAATTTTTTGTATTTTTTTTAGTAGAGACGGGGTTTCACCATGTTGACCAGGATGGTCTCGATCTCTTGACCTTGTGATCCACCTGCCTCAGCCTCCCACAGTGCTGGCTGTCTTTTAAAATATAGTTTGTTGTCATTTTTTTTTTAATGAGAGAGTCTTGCTATGTTGCCCAGACTGGTCTTGAACTCCTGCCTCAGCCTCCCAAAGGGCTGAGATCACAGGTGTGAGCTACCACACCTGGCCCAAAAGAGAGTTATTTTCTATTATAGAAATAGTTTTAAAAAAGCACACTATGTGGAAGCTTGGTTCTTCAAGGTCAAGGCTCATAAACAATAATCTGGTGGCAGGGTCCCTAGAAATGCTGGCTAACTATGAAGAAACCATAGATTCTACAGAATTAGCTTTTCAAAGTCCAAACTTATAAACTGGTACACATAAAAGCAGTTTTACAAGGCATAAGAACTGGATAGAAGAGACATTTTTACATATTATCTTACTTTTTTTGTAAATTCTGTAGTTGCTTCCATAAGTTGCTTTTCTTGATCTGTAAACTAAAGAATATGAAGCAGCAGGAAGTTAAAAAAAAAAGAAAGACTAAAAATTAAAAAGGAATAAGTAACCAAGAAAGTACATTTAAAAGCACATTACCATATCTGTTACTCTGCTCCTTTCTAGGTTGATATCCAGTTTATTATCTGCTCTGATTCGACTGGTTTCATGCTTTCAAGAAAATAAAGACATTTTTAAAATGATCTTGTAATAAATGTTTGTTCTGAAATTAACAGCTAGAAAAAAAAATTCACTTACCATTAGTTGTTGCTTAACTTGGTCTAGTTCAATTTTCATTTTCTAGGTACAAGAAAGATCACATGCAATTGGCATTAAACCAAGTCCATATTATGATTAAAAGAACCTGAAATCCTAGATTACCAAAATTTGGACAATCTATGGATTTCTAATCAGAATTGATGAGAAAAAAAATTTCAAAAGAAACTAGTAAGTCACCGTATTCAGAAAACAATTCTTATGAACAAAATGCATTTGTTTTTATATTACACTTTTAAAAACTGATTTTCTAAATTTAAAAATAAGCTATAGTGGATAACATAACTTAAAATTCTGACTTAATTACAGAAATATACTTTTCTCTTAAGTCACAAAGACATTTAGTACTTAAATGTCTTTGATTAAATAAAAGCGAAAATGCCACATTACTCTCAGCTCGGAAACCATTATATAAAAATTTTATATAATATATATAGCTCAAAGGTTTTCTCTTTTATGTGATTTTATATGTATAAATTTAACTCTTATTCTCTTCAGTATGCAAAGCACTATGATTTATATAGAAAAAAATTAGGTATGGTTAAATAAATAGTATATTTTTAAATCTATCGTTTACTAACCACATGGAATTACTATTTGGTCTTATTAACTTATTCACTAAGTAGGATGCTTATTATGAGATCAGTATTTTATGAGTAATAGATTAAAATTTGTATCACCTCATTCTCAGCTCTCAGATTTGCGAATTCACTTTTCTCTAGGATGACCATGTCTTTCCTGATAGAGTCCAAATGAGCCATTAGCTGTTGTACTGTTATTTCCTAGAAAACAAAATAAAAATAACCTAGTGATCTATAGAAAACCATCTTTTTCTTTTGCATTGTTTTCATGAAATTTAAATGAGTTTGTTAACATGCTACAAGGTATAATGATTATTGGTTAAAATATCAAAATGAGAAAAAATGTATTTCCTAGTGAAGAGAGACAAATGTGCAGGTATTTGAATGAAAAGAATCTCAATAAAATGCTTCCGTAGACCCCAAGAGTTCCTCAAAAAGATGTTTTGTTCTTGTTTTTTGAATACTCAAATAGGAAGGGTTTTCTCTCTTATTACTTTGATTTTGAGAGATTTTCTACCACTGGAAAATTCCATGTAGTGGATATGACTCAGAAGTCAGGTAGTAAAAAACAGATGTATAGTTAAAATAATTGCCCTTTGTCGGCACAACATAATCAATTTTGTTTAAGTTCCTAGGTAGCTTCCTTATATTTGGCACTACAAAGAATATGTGAAAGAAAAGGTAGCCCTTACCTGATAGATTTATAAACTTTTGCTTTGTTAGGGAGGGACAATTTTGCAGAAATGATTTAAGGCAGCCTTACAAAGAAAATATAACTGTTAGAGGTCCAATATCCCTAATCCAAAAATCTTGAAATACAAAATCCAAAACTTTTTGAGTGCCAACATGACACTCAAAGGAAATGCTCATTGGAGTATTTTGGATTTCAGATTTGGGATGCTCAGCTGGTAAGTGTAATGCAAATATTTAAAAAAAAATCTGAAATCTGAAACACTTCTGGTGCCAGGCATTTCAGATAAGGGATATTCAGACTGTAGCACTGAACTTCTTAAAATTAGGTAGCTTGCTAATTTATCTATCCTTTACCAAAAGGATAGATAATCCTTGATAAGGACTCTGTATAATAGTTCAGAAATAAAACAAGAAAGCCCAAAAAAGATTGTGAGTTCTGGAGTCAGGGTGTCTATGTTTGAATCCAAACTCTGCCATTTACTGTGAGATGATAGCAAGTCATTGAATTTCTCTGGTCTACTCACTGGTAAAATGGAAATAGTAACAGTACCTGCTACATGTTAAAGAGCTGTTTTGAGGATTAAATGAGGTAATGTATATATAATGCTTAGAACAGTACTTGGCACATGGCTAGCAATGAAACGTTAGCTATTATTATTACCGATGGGACAGATCTAATGGCTGAAGCAGGATAGTCTAATGCTAATGTATTAATGTGGAGGAAGTTTGGACTTCTTATCATAATAGATAAAAGTTTTTAACTCTGTACAACAGACATTTCTGACTCATGCATTTTCTAACTCTCATATATTACTGGGGAGGGGTGTTCATTTTCTTTTATTCAGTTCTGCTTGACATATTTATGAGAATTAATTCAGAAGTCAAACAGATGTGGCCTCTAGGGGCTGGCAGTCCTGTTTGCCCCAAGTAACATTATAAAGGAATTGTAAGACATTAAAAATAATGTATTCTTATTACTGAGATTACATAGGCAAAAGCTGGAAAGCTAAGTATAGACTTCTTGTGGAGTCTCAACCTGAAAATAAGGGATTGTATTGTGGCTCTTTTTTTTTTTTTGAGACAGAGCCTTGCTCTGTTGCCCAGGTTGGAGCACAGTGGGGCGATCTTGGCTCACTGCAGCCTCCACTTCCTGGGTTTAAGTGATTCTCATGCCTCAGACTTTGCCGTGTTGGCCAGGCTGGTCTCGAACTCCTGACCTCAAGTGATTTGCTCACCTCAGCGTCCCAAAGTGCTGGAATTACAGGTGTGAGCCACCACACCCGGCCCTACTGTAGCTCTTAAAAGCCTCTTTTTACCTCATTCTTCCTTTAAATAAAGACTCAAAAATCCTACAAAACAGCACAGGTGTCCACCTTTACATTTAAAGTTATTAAAGACATAATCCATTGTTAAGTAGCCAAATCTATTAAAAGTGATTTTTGTAACTATGGAGCCATCAAAGAATATTCAGATTTTAATCAAATTTACAATATAATCAAATTCTCAGAGTAAGACTTCATTATTTTCTTTTTTCCCCTCATCCTGCTAGCTTACTTGGTATCATATGGCTCATTCTGAAGCGATCAAGTATGCAGCTTGATGGCCTGATGGCCCTGAGCCTTACCTCCACCCTTCATGACATCTCTGTGCCTTATTCTATACTAGAGGTGGGGTCAGAAATGGAATTAGACACAAGAACGGAACAGGATTTTTAACTTCACACACCAGTAATAAAAAAGCCAAAAGTATAATAGTAATATTTTTATGCCCAATCCTACCTCTTGAATATAGGATTAAATGGTCCTAGCAGCACAAAGATTCCTCAAATTACAGCTTTATTTCACGCCTTATAGGTAAACTTGAAAAAAAAAAATTACTTTCTTAAAAATATCAGTAGCTCAATATAGCTCTTTACAGACAGTTCAGAGCTATGGAGTAACTAAATGTTTGGTTTTTTCTTTAGTGGATTTAGTAGTCTGTTATGATCCTAAATAAACTAACTAAAAAAATGCATGTACAAACTTAAAGGGAAGTTGAATGTAGGGGTTGAATGTTTCAATTTTAAATGTCTAATTAATTGGACATTTGTCTACTATAATTGGAGATTATAGTTTAAAAAAATTTTTTTTGACACAGTCTCACTCTGTTACCCAGGCTGGAGTGCAGTGGTGCAATTTTGGCTCACTGCAACCTCTGCCTCCCCAGTTCAAGGGATTCTCCTGCCTCAGCCTCCCGAGTAGCTGGGATTACAGGTACCCACCACCATGCCCGGCTAATTTTTTTCTTTTTTTAAGTAGAGACAGGGTTTCACCATGTTGGCCAGGCTGGTCTTGAACTCCTTACCTCAAGTGATCTGCCCACCTTGGCCTCCCCAAGTCTGGGATTACAAGTGTAAGCCACAGCACCTCTTTAAAATCTTTTGATCTGTGACCTTTATAGTAATGAAATTTTATGCAAGAGATTCTAGTTTTATATAAGAAATCCTGATTTTTCTCTCTGTGCTATAAAATACTTATCTGAGGAAGGAAGACTAAATTTAAAAAATTAAAATTCAAAAAATATAACCATAGGAGGAAAACAGATTCTTAAACATAATATATTATTTCATGACTGACAGAAATGAATTATTATTCCAGATAAGTTCATTTAGTTTATTCAATCATTGCTTTTTGTCCATATCACCACAGTGAAAACTCTTGCAAACTACTTAATCTCTCTGAGTGTGTCTCCAGTGGCCAGATAGAATTCTGCCTACTTTTCAAGGTTGTTAGAGATTAAATCATACACGCAAAGTACCCAGCACTGTGCCTCTTACATGTTAAATTCTTATGTTTGACTTTAAAGAATTTTATATTCAGTCAAATTAAAGCATCTTAGCTAGGTAATTTATAAAGTCCTTCCCAGCCATGTAAGTCCTTTCCAGCTAGGCCTCTGAAAATTAACCTCAAGTGATCTGCCCATACATAACAATACATATGTATGGCAGCAATAAAATATACTTAATGTATAGAAATATTAGCTCTTCTACTGTGGTGAGCTTTCTAGAGGGAAAAAGTTGTTTCACTAACAATCTACCTCCACCCATGAATAACACAATATAATGATCTCATCTCATCAAAATTTGGCAAAATACCATTCTCTTTGTTACCACAATATTATTACAACTATTCTAACTATTCAGTCTCTAAATATTGACTTTATTCTTTTTTTTTTGTGGTCCCTTTAGAGATAACAAGGAAGATAGGAGCATGTTTTGAAGGTCAGTAGGTAGCCAGAGACGTAGTTATGAAATGATTGTCTAATGAAACAATCAGAAGTGATAATAATCAGTGTATTACCTGTTGAGCTTGAGTGACCATCTCTTTATAGATAGTATCCAGGCTGACATTTGATAACGTAGTTAATGCTGATACAATTGTTTCTGCTTGTGTTTTGTCAAATCCTGTAGGCAGCAAATAGGTATTTTATTTTATTTCTTTAAGGTGCATATCCTTATCAAAATAGACAGCTAGAGTAACTCCTCAACATTTAAATTGTTATATACTCTTTTAAAAAATTTACAATTAAAAATTTGAGAGATAATGCTAAATTACCCTCTAAAAGTACTCTACAATTTTAATTCCCATTGACACTGGATATTACTTTTTTTTTGAGTGTATAATTGGCATTTAAAATGGTATTATTATGTTAATGTTACTTAAATTTGCATTTCTTTGGTTGGTAGTGAGGTTAAGCATTACTTTTTGTTATTGATGTTTATTTTTCTGTGTTCTGCTTGTTTATAGCATTTGCCCTTTTTTTCTGTAAAACTGCTTATTCTTTTACATTTAGCTTTTTATCTATCTGAAATTTAGTTTTCAGTTTTAGAGGATCTAGCATATGTTTTTCCAATGGCTACTCATTTGTTATATCTCATTTAGTACATAGTCCTTCCTTTCCCTAATTTGTAATGCCTTCATCAAATATTAAATTCATGTCTGTGTCTCTATGAATACCATTTTGTTCTATTAGTCTATTCCTGCAATATCACATAATTTAAATTACTGTTTTGAAACCAGGTAATTTTTTTGTGCTTATTTTCTGCTTTTTAAATCTCAAACAATTGTTCCCCCTTAGTATCAGCCTAGAAACTCTAGTTTTCTTCTTTTTCACTTATTTGGAATCATTCTGCATATATTTCATATGCTTTTTTCAATTAACGTATCTTGAACACTCCCCGTATCAGTAAATGTTTCTCAAGCATCATTTTTAATGATTATGAAATATTTCATTGTATGGATGGCAGGTCTATTTAGTTACTCTTAATTGTTCATAATAGTGATACTGTCTTGACTAGGCAATTATTATGAGTGCTATTAATTTTTTTCTTTCAAGAGGTATCCATGTTTCTTACCATGAGTTTCCAAGTCCTGAACCAATGCATGGGTATCAAAAGTTAATTTCCTTTGTTCTAAAGGAGTTATGTCCACTGGACGCCTATCATATCCCTCTTTGGTTGTGGTAGTGAAGAAGTCTGAAAAGAGAAGACATTTATTTTCTCTTGTACTGATACAGGTATCATATTTTAGCTTACAAAGCATTTTCCCCATCCATTTATAATAAAGTTCCAGCTCTTCTAGTTTCGTCATCTCACCCAAGTTAATTGACTCCTTTGAACCTCTCTTTTATCTGAAGAGTCTGACATTTTTCTGTACATACCAAACATTCAATACATGTTTTTTTCCCTCCTTCAGTATTCAGAAATGTTAAGAATCGGTCTAAAATTGTAATAAAACACACATCAAATACTTTGGATCACCACCTCAGCTCTGATTACAGAAGAGCAGAAACTGCTCAATTCAGCTATTCTCTGTGCTCAGTAACAGTCTTCCAAAGAGCTATGAAAAATTTTTACACTTATCTCTCTATTTAAAGTAGCTTTCCATACTCCCACTCACTTATATGTCCACAGTTTATTTCCTACATAGTTGTCAGCTCCAAAATGAAATTATCTTGCTTGCTGTTTGTATCTTTGGACCATAATATAAGCTCCATGATGATTTGACTGTGATTTTCACTACTGTATCTTTAGCACCTAGAACAGTGCTTTGGCACATAGTTGGGTTACAAACTTTACTGCTGATTCAATCAATGAATTTGATTTGAAATCATGGGCGTATTTACTGGTATCAACATAAGAGCTGTAGGAGCAATTTCTCTTTTCTGAAATAACCCTTCTTGTCCTATTTCAATAAATTCCCCAAGTTTTAACCTAGACACAGTAAAGAACTTTTCTATATATTGCTGATGAATTTATTATAAGGTGCTCTGCCCATAAACAACTTCTAGGAAAGGTAAAGGGGTTTGCCTAAGGTCACAAAGCCAATGGCAGAATCAGGATTCAGATTCATGTTCTTCTGAACAAATCTTAGATTCTTTCCATTACTCTATGCTGTCTCATTTATCCCAAGACACCTAAAATATCTAAGTATTTAAAAGACTGCAACTTCAGGTATTACTTTTCCACTGGTACTGTGTAGGACAAATGTGATTCCTTTCTTACATCCTTCTGGCCTAATAAATATTTGTTGAGTGCTAGAACTTGTGCCAGGCACAAGGGATAAAATGATAAGCAAAACCAGACATGAATGATGTTCTCACTGATTTTATAGACCAGAAGGCAGGAAACAGATACCGTTTTTTTTTTTTTTTTTTTTTTAAATCTAAGAATAAACTCTAAATTCAAATGATAAAAGATACTCATACTCCAAAAATTTTTACTTAAGAGATAAAAGCAAGTAGCTATAAATAAAGGTGGAACAATTTTTTAAAACACACACACATATTAGCACACTGGTCACTAATCTTTTTCACTTGAATATCATATAGAAGGGTAAAGAAACATGTCTTTGTGTGTCAGTGTCAGACCTAAGGTAGGAGAGAAAAAGAAAAATTAGAAGAAAAAGGGGCAGATTTCAATAGTTTCAGTAACAACTGCATTAGGAGTAATGATGGTACTTTTAGTTATGTATCCCTAAGTTTATTTGGATTTAGAAAAAAAATCAGTAATAATATTTATGTAATATTTTACTGTTTTCATATCCATTACCACATCCTTAAAATTCTCATTTTATGGATGAGGCAAATTGAGGCTCAGGGCTAAGTATGGATGCTCCTCAGCTTATAAAAGTGTTATGTCCCAATAAATTCATCATAAATTGAAAATATCCTAAGCTGAAAATGCATTTAATACACCTAACCTACTGAACATCACAGCTTAGCCTGGCTTACCCAAGCACACTGAGAACACTTACATTAGCCTATAGCTGGCTAAAATCATCTAACACAAAGCCTGTTTTATAATAGAATATTGAATATTTCAGGTAGACACACAGATGGGCACTTTATAAACATGACAGGATGCAAAAACAAAACCCCAAAACCCTGGCAATACTAAGTATTGGTTGTTTGCCCTTGTGATCCATGGCTGAGTGGGAGCTGCGGCTTGCTGCCCCTGCCTAGCATTGCATGAATACTACATTACTGCTAGCCTAGGAAAGGATCAAAATTCAAAGTACAGTTTCTACTGAATGCATACTGTATTTGCACCATAATAAAGTTGAAAAATTTTAAGTTAAACTATCTTGAGGACAGTCTATGATTAGTTTGCAATCTTATGGTCTCATAGCTAGGCAGGTTAGTACAGTTCCTCTGACTTAGCCAAGAAACACTCTGAAAACCTTGCACAAAGAGCAGCTTCCTACTAAATTTTGGATAGAAACCAAATACCTTAACAACCTAATAAATCTCTGTAGGGTGCAGCTCCTTTCATGTCCTACTGTGCTCTCTGGCCCTCTGCTTTCAAGGGGTCTTTGATTTTAATTCCAGGAACATGCCATGTGCTTTCCCTTCTCAGGGCCTTTGCCCAGCCCCGGCCCTGTTCAGAAAGCTCTCCTTTTCTCTGCCTGCTCCTGTTTATCCTTCAGAGCTCAGTCTTAGTGTTTCTTCCTCTGGAAAGCCTGATGACTCCTTTAGGTTAGGTCTCTCTTGTGATGGTTTTTCATAGTACTGCGAAGCATTCTTTTGCAAACCTTCTCACAATTTACACATTTATGTGACTCTCAGCTGTCTCCCCAAGAGACCAGTGGTCAGCCAACTAAAGCCCATAGACTATGTTTTTCTAGTTTTATTTCTTAGAACTAGTTTTATTAGAACACGACTCATTCATTTATGGCTTAATCTATGCCAACTTTCACACTGCATTGGCAGTGAATAGCTATGACTGAACAGCCTGCAAAGCCTAAAATATTTATTAGGTTCTGCAGAGAAAAAGTTTGTCAACCCCTGCACTAAACTATACAGTCCTTGAGAGCAGGGACCACATCTGTTCTTGCTCACTACTGAATTCCCGGTGCCTGCACAATTCTGGATGCTCCATTGACAGATATCTGCTTACATTAGCCTATAGCTGGCCAAAATCATCTAACACAAAGCCTGTTTTATAATCGAATGTTGAATATTTCATGTAGACACCCAGATGGGCACTTTATAAACATGACAGGATGCAAAAACAAAACCCCCAAACCCTGGCAATACTAAGTATTGGTTGTTTGCCCTTGTGATCCATGGCTGAGTGGGAGCTGCGGCTTGCTGCCCCTGCCTAGCACTGTGCTTAGCATTATGTGCTTGGCATTATGTATACACAATGAATACAAAGGAGAGGCGGCTGGCCCTCCTTGAGAATAAAGGATCAACAGTGGTGATTTGGATGATGGTAGAGCTACATTACCTCTTAGAGAAGTTACCCAGACAGGATGAATGAGCAATATCAAGGCATGGGCAGGCTTTGTTATTCACTTGCTTCTATTTATTATGGGCCTAAGGAGAGCTGAGAATACAGAATGATATGTAGAACATTATTCTGTGTATGTGCTCAAATATTCATATATTTTGCTTAGTCCTCTCAATCCTATGAGGTGGGTATTGACACCCACTGGCAGTAGAACTTTGGGTTTCACTCCACTTTGGAAACCATAGGAACTGGAAAAAACCACTGGATATTCATAGTAGGAGGTCATAATCACTATTCCAACTGTGTCATGAGCATGCATAAGCACTCATTAAGAATGTCTTTGCAGGCCGGGTGCAGTGGCTCACGCCTGTAATCGTGGCACTTTGGGAAGCCAAGGCAAGTGGATCACTTGAGCCCAGTAGTTTGAGATCAGCCTGGGCAACATGGCAAGATCCTGTCCCTACAAAAATTATAAAAATTAGCTGGGCATAGTGGTGTGTGCCTGTAGTCCCAGCCACTTGGGAGGCTGAAGTGGGAGGATCACCTGAGCCTGGGAGGCAGAAGTTGTAGTGAGCCGAGATGGCGCCAATGCACACCAGCCTGGGTGACAAGACCCTGTCTCAAAAAAAAAAAAAGAAAGTATTTGCAGCCGTATTAATAGGTAGGCGAGATAAGTGCCCAGAATCAGTGTTTCCAGCTCAAGGTGGAGTAACAGATCCTTAATAACTTTAAAAGTTTTGCATAGACTTAAACGTATGTACAAAATCCCAAACTTTTCCTTTCATTGTTACTTCTTTTGATTCTTTGATACCTTTCTGGTGGATTTGTTTGTTTATAATAGTGAGATTGTTTATTTACAATAGTGAAATACAAACTCAGAGTTTAAAGGTTTAACCAGCTTCATAAAACTACTAAGTCATAGACTGCTGATTGGAACTCTGGCCTGCCTTGCAGCAAGCTGCTCTTGCTGGAAAAGGTCAAATTTTACTTTTGAAAAAATAAATAAAAACAACAACAAAAAAAGATGTAAAATATTATCCCATTAAATATAAGCTGCAAGTTTTATATTAATTTACTAATTTTTCAGCTGTAACACTTCAGTGTATAGCCAGTTATTTTTCTGGCAGGAACTCAAAAGAACAGGCATTACAGTGTATATTCTTACATGCTGGTACTAACTTGCTCGACTAATTGCAAGATTAACTAAGTCCTTCCATTGGTCAGAGGTCAAGATTTTCAAATCCCTTGATTATTGACATTGTTAGGCAAGTTTAAACTACTTGTGTATAATGAACATTCAATATTTGTTTAGTGAGGAGGGACACATCCTATTAGTTGTAAGAAGAGATTTGAGGTTTCTCCAAGAATACTCAGACTCAAGTGGGATAACTTTTATGTAAAACATTTACATTTACTTATGGTCATGTGTTTCCCAGTATGATATGCACTTCAAAGTTCATTCTCTAAAAATGTTTAATTTTGTTTTCATTTAGATATGTAAATGAAGTATGCCTGTAAAAGTCAACTAAGATGACAGTTGGATGGTTTCCTGGAGTTCAAAAGTGCTACCTAATTTTTGTAAAATCCATCATAATGCGTATGTACGCAAAACACCAAAATACCTAACAAAAGGGACCTTGTGAATGACCCTGGCACTGCAGCTGTTACTGGTGTGGATTAAAATGAAATAGTGAGCAAAATAGCACAAGTAACAGTGTGGAGCATAAATAACAGCATTGACATGTTTGGGTACTGAATGGCTCAGTGTGCCTGGCACTGAAGATTCAAGAAGGTGAACAGAGAATGCTAAGGTTGATATGAAGTGTCTATTTGCCTATTTTGTGGACAACCTTAAAAAAGTTTATAAATTGGGAGGGAAGTTTAAAAACTAGGGGTAGGAAACAACGACAACAAAACCTAGCCCTAGAAACATTTCTCAGAATAAAGTCGGATGTCTTCAGAACACCCTGTAAACAGAGGTGCCAACCGGTTGGAAACTTGTAGGTTCAGTATTTTTTTTTTTCCCCCGAAGTCTACAATGTGACTGAAAATACTGAGAATTCCAGCGAGAATAAGGCAGACGTGACCTGAAATTTATGATTTAAAAGCCTGGGCTGAAGGCCAGCACCTAAACAATCTAAATTTGAACAGGCCATAAAAGAAATCGGAATACCCTCAAACATAGATTACCTTACTTTGGCTCCTGACAAACCTACAAGCTTCTTGTCACCAAAAAAGGGAAACATGGGCTGAGAAAGAGGCCGGGCGCGAAGCCCAGGCCTTCAAAGGCTCGCTCTAAGAAGAGAAAGGCGGTGCTTTCCTCAGTCCTCGCCCCCTGGGGCGAGCTGGGCTAGTCCGGGCAGCCGGCATTGGTGTTGCCAGCACAAGGCGTGAGTAGGGGAGGAGGGCGTGGCACCTTCTCGGGTTCGCTCGAGCAGGCGCGACCCACGGTCGTCGTCTCCCTTGAGAGCACTCAGGCATCTATGACACGACGCCTTGCCTCACCTCTCCGCAGGGCCGGCGAGAAATGCCCGCGGGGGCTTGAAACCCAGCGATCTCCGCTGCCTTGGAAAAGCAAGAACCGCCAAGCCCGGCGACGACTCATGTCCTCAGAGTTTTCCGGTGGGCGGGAGGCGGGAGGCGGAAGACGGGTTGAATCTCTCACAGGCTTTCGGGCAAGGTAGTTCTGGCATCACAGGAATGCTGGGAATTGTAGTTTTCGGTCGGTCACAAGACCACCTTCCAGCGCGGGCGCCACCGTGGTGCCACGAAACTGGGCCTTCTCATAGTTCATGAGCATGGCTCAGCGCTGCCCCGCTTCTCCCACAGCCCCTTCCAGACCTGTGAACGGCTTTACCGCCCCAGTAAAGCGGGATCTTGTTGGAGAACCTTCCGGCGCCTGTTTCCTGGCAGTGGGGCATAGTCCAACAGCAGGCTCCCCCAAGATAACCAGCGGCCATTACGCGCTACGGTCGGCGGAGTTAGACTTGTATTTCGCCGCACAGCAGCCTGGGTCCTGAAGTCCGCGGCTGCTGAGCATTCTGGGTGACCGCATAGTGCGGAGGCCAACGAAACCGTCTGGAAAGTGTTCTGCAGCAAGCCGTTCATTTATCATACAGCGTCACATCCAGCTGCTTCGCCCTCTAATGCACGGGAGGACCAACTATTTTAGTTGGTATGTCCTTTCTTTAGCGAAGCTGAATTCCTCCGTTTCTAGGAGAAATTCTTTGAATTTTCACCAGTTAGCCCTCCTTTGCCCCTCATAGTAAAATGCTGAAAGCAACAATGCACAGAAGTTGTGTTAAGATGCACTAATATACATAAATATTCTCTGTAAGTCCTACAATGATACACAGTTGTGGGGTTTTAGTGGCTTATTATGGCTAGGTTTCTATCTATATGTATTCAAAACTTTGTGAGAGTCAGCTAAGTTACCAACACCATTACAGCTACTGTAAATGGGATTGTGTTCTTGATTTGGTTATTAGCTAGAACATTATTGGTGTAAAAAATGCTACTGATTTTTTTATACATTGAAAATGTTTTATATCCTAAAACTTTACTGAATTTGTTTATCAGTTCCAGGAACCTTTGGGAGAGTCTTTAGGGTATTCTAGGTATAGAATCATATTGTTGGCAAAGATAATTAGTTTACCTTCCTCTCTTCCTACTTGAATATCTTTATTTCTTTCTCTTGCCTGATTGCCCTGGCTAGGACTTCCAGTACTATGTTGAATAAGAGTGGTGAAAATGGGCATCCTTTTCTTGTTCCAGTTCTCAAGGGGAATGTGCTTCCAGTTTTGGCCTTTTCTCTTGGAATAGGTGGTGTGAAGGAATCTCGATGTTTTAGAGACTGAATGAGGCATTGAGAAAGAGCGAGCTCTGGATCAAATGGGTTTAATTTTCTTCCTTAGCTTACTTGGAGTTCTTGCCACTAGGGGGAGTATGAGGAAAGAACAAAGGGCAATTCTTTGCTCTCATCTCTGAAGCTGAGTCAGAGGGCCCATTGTCATAAAAGCTTTGTGTAGCTTTATGTTAATTTCAGATTTTGCATGGCTTGAAAGTGACTATCAGCCCCAACTCCCTGCAAATCTGGGGAAATTTTTTTCCTAATTATACTGGGAGGCTTGCAATGACACCTGATTCCGAGTTTGCCCATTACAACAAATCAAAGAAAAGAATGATTAAAAGAAAGGATGGTAAAAAAAGAAGAGAAAGAACTGTCAAAGCATTATATACTTTGCAACATTACATCATAACTTGGTGTCTCTCGTTGATTACTCATTTATTCTTTGAATGAATCTTTATTGAACACTATCATGCCAGGCACTGTGCTAACCTGTGAAGACATAAACATAAAACACAGTACTGTTCTCAGATTGTCAACAGTCTATTGTAATAAATATTGTGATGAAGGGTAGTATAGGCTGACAAGGAAATGCATAAGACAGGGATCCCTGGGAAGGCTTTAGTTTGGAAGGATGTGTGAAAAATAGTTTAATTAAATGGATTTGGGGAATGGTAATGTGGAGTATGTTGTGTGCAAAAGGCAGCAGCACTTGTGAAAGCCAGGCAGTGTGTGAGAGAGCCTGGTTCATTTGGGAATGGAGAGAATGGCTGGAGCAATGGGTTAAGGGTAGAGAAAATCAGAAGGTGAGGTTGGAAAAGGTGGGGCTGGCCTTCCAGGTCTTTTTTACTTTATCCATGAGTAAAAGGAACCACGGAAGGGCATTAGGCTGGGGAGTAGCATTGAAAAGAAAGGTGGCCAGGCATGGTGGTAATCCCAGCACTTTGGGAGGCTAAGGTGAGAAAATCACTTCAGCGAGCCCAGGAACTTGAGACCAGTATGGGCAACATAGCAAGACCCTGTCTCTATAAAAATTAAAAAGAAAAAATTAGCCAGGCAATGGGGCATACGCCTGTAGTCCCAGTTACACAGGAGGCTGAGGTGGGAGGATCTCTTGAACTCAGGAGGTCAAGGCTACAGTGACCCCTGGTTGCACCACTGCACTCTAGCCTGGGTAACAGAAACCCTGTCTCAAAAGCTAAAACAAAAAAAGAAAAGAAAATGGAAAAAAAAAAAGTCTTTGCCTGCCTTTTGCTGAGCCCTTTAGCAGTCAAGGCTGTGTATTTCACCCAAGTTCCCTGTCCTAGGTACTGATCTGGAAAACTCTAGACATCTGCCCCTTTCCTGGTCAGAGAGAACTGCTTGCCTGGCAGAGCCTACAGCTTCAGCCTCAAGGTACCTGACTGGAGAAATCCTCCTCATGGTACAACCTGGCTGCCTTGGACCTCACTGGGATAGACCAGGGAAATTGGATTTTGGGGTTTTAACTTTGGAGTTCATTTTCTGCACTGGGGGATAGCAAAGCTGAAAAATCTCTCTAAACTCTCAGCATGTTCTATGTCCTTCCTGTCCCCAACAGCAAGGTGGGACATTCTTCCTCAAAAAAGTCTTCATATGTGGGTGTTGCCTTATCTACTGTCTTACTCACATGAGCTCATTTGAGCTCCTTGGCAACTCCATGAGCTGGGTACCATTGCTCCTGTTTTCTAGATGGGAAAACAGGTTCAGAAGGCTGAAGTGATTTGTCCCAGGTCACAGAGCAAGTACGTGGTAGAACTCATAAGTGATCATGCTGCACACTGCATAGATAAGTCAGCCCTGTTCCTTCCACCAATTTATTTTATCTGGGTACATGGCACAAATTGTGAAGTTATGTGTACTCTTAGGGACACATGATCTCTCATCTCCCAAGAAACTGTTGGTAGAGAAGTGGTAAGTGAGTTTCACCTTCATGCCAACACCCTTCAATTGAGGATGGCTGCTTAGAACAAAGTGATGAGTGTTGTGAGGCCACATCTTGGTGCAGCAGTAAAGAATAGGTGATTGACTGGCAGTATCTGCTGGAGAGAAGAGGCAGCATGTATGCCATTTCTAGGTCATATATTCCCCTTGGGCTGCCAGAATCCTTCACTGGCCAGGGTGTTTCCACTGACTGCCACCTTCACCCCCGACACCCATTTTGCTCCTTTTCTCTTATTTCTTCCCTTCCTTGCTGAAACCGTTCCCACCCATTTAACAATAGCTTTAACTTAATCAGGGTGTACTGGGTGCCAGGCATTTTGCATATATTATTTTTAATTCTCCAACAATTTCATAAAGTAGGTAGAGATGAAAACAAGACTTGGAGGGGTTAAGTACCTTGTCCAGGGACACACGACAAGCTAGAATTTCCACCCTGAACCACGTGGAAAACTTCGCATTTTTATAGTGGATAATGAATACCTTCGTATTCACTCTTTGCTTTGAGCCTCCAACAGCCCTGGGAAGTAGTTCTCTGGATTTGCAGCTGAGGGAGCTTGAGGCTCAGGGGAGAGGCACTGATTATTTAGTGACACAATTACAGCTCTGACTCTTACCTCAGGCCTTTTCCTGCTATTACCTTAGGCTCTGGAGAAGAGCTCCACAAAGCTGTCTCTAACAGCTGGTCTGTACTGCTGTGGGGAGAATTTGGGGGCCCTTGATAGATTTTTACTTCTGCCAGCCTTACCCTGTTTTCAGCTCTTTTCATCAAGAAGGTCTTTCTTTTATTGTTAGCTCTTTGTGTAATTTAGGTCATTTCTTAAAAAAAAATTTATTGAAGAGAAATTCACATAACGTAAAATTAACCATTTAAATGTGAACAACTGAGTAGCATTTAGTACTCTTACAATGCTGTGCAGCTACCCCCACTATCTAGTTCTGTAATATTTCCAAGACTCCAAAGTAAAATTTCTGACCTATTTAGCAGGTTTCCCCGCTTCCCCACTCCTCTCAGCCCCTGACTAACATCGATAAGCGTTCTGTCTCTATGTATTCATCTATTCTGGATAGATGATGTAAATTGAATCACACTCGTGACCTTTTGCAAATGTCTTGGGAGTTCATTGTGTTGTAGCATGTATCAATATTTCGTTCCTTTTTATGGTCAGTATTCTATTGCACATAATACAGTACCATGATTTGTTTATCCATCCCTTCGTTGATAGACATTTGGACTCTTTCTACTTTTTGGCTGTTATGAATAATGCTGCTATGAATATGTGCATACATGTACTTGTTTGAATATCTTTTTTCAGTTCTTTGAGTATCTATGTAGGAGTGAAATTGCAGGGTCATGTGGTAATTCTGCATTTAAAAGGCCAACTTCTTTTTGTTTGATCTTACTGGATGTAGATGTACATGCTGATCATGAAGAAAGCCAGCCTTTTCTGAGCTATATAATGTTGACATCTGGATTTATCTGAGAAACTTTTAAACCAGGGTTATCCATTACAGTTACAGTTTCCCCGAGGCAAACCCTAAAATAGGCGTTTAAATAAATAGTAGTTCTCTTTTATCACATGCATTCTTTGTGCCAAGAAGAGTGCTAGGCACTCTTTGGACATGAGCTTTAATCCCCAGGACAACACTGCTTAATGGTAATTATCATACCCCTTTTACAGATAAAGAAGCTGAAGTCTAAATGGTTAGAGAGCTTGTTCAGCGACATGTAGCTTCTAGTGGGGGGATTTGAAGCTTTGATTGTCTTACCTCAAAGAACCCCTTTTTGCTACACCAAGCAGTCTTCCTCAAGAACTTTCTAGGCTGCTGTTGTCAGCTATGTTTCTGACCTTTTATGAGAATGAGTAGCAAGCTTTTGTTGTGGAATTTTTTGCAATAAAAACATAGCATTTATTATGATAATTTTGATGGGTAAATGCAGAAATCATAAAAGGGGAATATAAAACAATAACCATGTGAAGATAGTTTAGGACATCCAAAGGCAGTAATGTATGAAGATCTCAGAAAGAATTGGAACTGGAGCTTGGAACGTTTCTAAGAACTAGGGAATTTCTGTCTCTGTCTCTTATCTATGCTTCTCTCTGTGTCTGCTGCCTTATTTTTCTACATTGATTGACTTTCTCTGATACCTATTGCATGGGATAGAAAACAGTTATGCCACAGTGTCTGCATTTATATCTCCCTTGTTCAAGGGAGTATCCAGCTGAGTCTGGAATCACTTAGTTCCAATTTCAAGTGTCCAGGGAAGGAACTTTGATTGACTTCACTTAGGTCATCCAACCTTTGAGTGGAAACTGTAGCTGCATAGCAGAGCCACATTATAGATTCCCGCTAAGGTCTTAGCCACATTGTCCGTTCCCGCTAAGGTCTTAGCCACATTGTCCGTTCCCGCTAAGACCTTAGCAGGAATGGATTGATAATCCTTTTGGAGGATTTGGAGGATTTGGAGGAAAGTGGATTGATAATCCTTAGTGAAAGAGGTTAAGGTTTGTTCGTAGAGAACCCAGAGATGATAAAGCATATCCTCTCTAGCTTTCACAAGAACATCTGTGAAGCAGACGTGAGAGAACTTGACGTGTAGAAACTGCAGTACTTTAAGCTGCTATAGGCAGAGAGGGATGTCTGTGAAACACTGGAAGTAGCCTCTTGTAGAGGACCTCTGGATGGTAGAGGATCCTTCTAAAGATGGTACTTGCATCTGGAAGTGGTGCTCTATGTAGAACATGCAACACTGCTCAGCTCTATAGCAGCTGCAGAGATGCCAGCAGGACTGTGAACCTCGTTGAACAGTTTATGGTTATTTGTATTAGAATATTAGAAATAACAGCCACCAGAACCATTAGAATATTGAGGTAGTGACCCAGTTCAAAGTTAAGTTATACACTTGGAACTACTACAAATAGACAGACTAAAATTCTCAAACTCTAAAAAATGAAGGGTGGCTATTAAAGGCAGATGTATAAAATATGAGCCTTGTGGGGCCTAGAGTGGGATCATAATGCAGACTCAGGATGACAAATGGAGACCTTCTGGACAAGAATGGGGCAGAAATGTGTTTTTAGACATACCTGAAGGTATAGCTAAGGATCAAGGGTTTCACCATTCCTGAAGATCCCCTCCTACTCCACTGTGGTGGTTATAATTGGTTTTATTAATTATTTAACTTAAGGTTAAATAATTTGCACAGTAGTATGTATGGAGGTTATTCCATAGCATGGGCTTGTTTATTCTCAATTTTTTGCAGGCGTTTTAAGGTTCCAAACTTTGAATTTTACAGATAAGATTCTATTGTCCAGAATGGGCAGACCGAGTACACAGCTTGCTGTAAAAAATGCAAACTGAATATAGCTTTCTTCTGTATTTAGGGCCTTGTATTTGCAACCTTGGTCAAATTGATGCCAAGATGACAGTATGGTTTTTGACAAGACAGCCAGCTTTTGAGTTGATGGGCATGTGCAAAGAGCCTAGTCCTCCTGGCTTAAATTATTAAAACTATTGCTTTAGAAAATACCCTTAAACTTAGCAGCCCAGCCAGCACAAAAGGGAAATGTCCCCAATCTTAGTCCTTTTGGTAAGGAAGGAAGTAGAAGTCTTTCTGATCTGACTCTGAAATATGAAGTCTGTGGCCTTGGAATATAAGCAGTTTCTTCATAGAAATTTACAATAAGGAGGAGCAAATCTTGGAACCAGTCTTCCCTTTGCCTACAAAATGATCAAACTGTAATTATCACATTTACGGGGTAATTGTTCCAATTGTAGCAGAATGAGGTGCTCCAGCCCTGTTCTGCAGACACAAATAGAATTGCTATGAAGATGGAACGATGCTTCAAGAACAGCTTGCTTTGAGCTTGTTCTTTATATAGTGAATCTAGGGTCAGGAAAAGGTGATGTGTGGGCACCCCTGAAACTCTGCCCTCTTTTCTCTGCATGGCTGGACCCTTTGACATGCATCTGCAGACACAGACCCAGATCCCAAAGTAGCACCAATCATGACCCAAGGCCTTAGAGCTTAAAGTTGTTCTTGTCAGATCCCTGAACATGGA